AGCATCTGATAGTCTGAGATTAGCTGATGGCCCTGCTGGTGAATAATTGGGAAGGTTTAGAACAGGCAGAATATCAGTCTGTCTCACAGTCCCTGTACCATATTATTTTCCCTTCTGTCCAGCCCTATTAATAATGCAAAATCTCTAAATGAAGCAAGTCGAGATTTTTCCTCACGTTCTGAATTTCCCATCTCCCTGGGGCTCCGTTTGAATTTACGTGTGTTTTGAGTGTTTTGTTTCTAGCAGAACTAAATATTTTTGAGACAAAGTGTTAGTCGAGTAGAATGCTGAATGAAGTGCTTACGGTAAACAGCTTCTGATAGGTCAATATGAATTGAAGTGTAAGTGATGTATGTTCCGGACTTGCCAAGTTTATTATGAAATTCATTATTAATTTGAAAAAGAAATATTTTTGTTAAATGTTAAGTCATTTTAACTTATGTTATATTTGTGATAACACTTCCCTAGTAAGTGCATATTTTAGTACAAATACTTTGTACTTAAATTTTACTGTTTTCTAAAATTCATTGTCTCATCATAAGAAGTCTTGTGTTTAAAACTGCACATGTAACAGCATTTTTGTTACTTCATACTTGTATGAATATGAATACACATTGCCAATTACCAAGAAAGTGTAATCCCAAATGCAACAGGTGTTACATTATAATTAACAAACCCCAAATGTTCTCTGGCAGCTGACATGTCTTGTTGCTATTTACAGAAACCATTCTGTATGAGAATCTTTATATTTTACAGAGAATCAACACATTGTGATGAGTAGGTGTCATCTGAAGTAGAACAAATATTTGTCAAAGAAGGGTCCTTATTTGTTTTACTTAAACTAAATATACACAGCCACATAATAAGGGTGCCTAAATCTCTCACAGTCTTCTCACAAAGGGCTGCTTTCCTTGTGGGTGTATCTCTCTGTAACACATGCATAACTGGTTTATATCGTACGTTAATCTCCTCCACTGGAGTTTATATCATTTAGACTTCGGTCCTTGCTGACAGCGATTTCACCTTTTGAACTGTGATTGAATCTATGAGTGGGAATATGCCTCGCGTCCATGTTCTTTATAATACACATGACCGTGCATGTGCTCTGTGCATGTGTGTGTAACTGCACCCATTTGAGTCAATAACTGTTATCAATTGATGCAAGCTCCACCCTTGCAGTTCATGTTTGCAAAGTGACAGAAACATCTTCTCGTTGATGGGCATGGTTGGAGGGCTGTGTATTTGGATGTAGGGAAATAGACGTGGGGGATTGGGAAGAGAGAGGCACTTTGGATGTAGGAAAACAAGTGAGATTTTAGGTGGTGTTGAGGTTCTTTGACAAAGGAAAATAGTCAGTGAGTGAGTGTGGTTTTCCAGCAATACCACAGCAGGGGACACAAGAAATGGGCTTCACACTTTGTACCCATAAGGAGAATTGAACTCAGGACTTCAGCATGATGAGCAAATGGTTTAACCACTTGGCTTCTTAGACATAGGGGGCAGTGGGGTAGCCTAGTGGTTAAAGCGTTTGCTCGTCACACCAAACAGGCCTACCAAAGAAAACTTTCCCACTGTGCAGAAAACAAGAAAAGCCCACATTAATCGTGGAAATAGCAACATAAACATAATACCTCGCTACTGAAACAGTAAAAACAGCAACTTTTAATCGCTAACACTGCATCATAAAACGAGGAGCCTGCAACTTCGATTTTGCGCATGCGCACATGGAAGTGGTAGTCTCGACCGCATGTTGACATTTTCCAGCTTGGACAAAAGTTACATTCCTTTTTTAAGTATTTCTGTTGTGTTATTTGGCATTTATCATCATGATTATTATTTCGACATATTTAATACTTTTTCTACGCGAGGTGATTCACGGTTGCTCGGAAATTGGAAAGAAGCCCGGATCGTAATTCGCACGCGTATGCACAGTAGAGTTCAAAGTTTGCTGATATAAAAATGTTGCAGTTTCATAGGTTTTTTTTGCCGTTTTCACTGTTTCAGTAGCGAGGTAATGTGTTTATGTTGCTATTTCCATGATTAATGTGGGCTTTTCTGCGTTTTTCTGTACAGTGGGAAAGCTTTCTTTGGTAGGCCTGCCAAAGACCCGGGTTCGATTCCCCACATGGGTACAATGTGTGAAGCCCATTTTTTCTGGTGTCTCCCGCCGTGATGTTGCTGGAATATTGCTAAAAGCGGCATAAAACCAAACTCACTCACTCACTCTTACACATAAACTGGAGGAGTTAAGGTTTCAAAACATCATGTGTGAAGGAAATATACATGGCAGTTTTGTGTGGATATTATGTGAGGAAATCTGTTTCAGTTTAACATGTAATGTCACATTGGAATTGGTTTAATCATATTGTATAAGTTAACAGATTGTTGTGCATGGACATAAGTGCAAAGTGACCTCATTTCTGAGGTTCGCTCATGAGTTGGGTTTAATGCAGTATTAAGGTATATCAACTCAATGTGATACAAAGCAAGAAGTGATACAGTCCTGAGATGTTTGTCACTTTGGTGAAACCCATGAAGATGTGTATGGTGCTATTAAACCTGAAAGTATAGTCAAGACAAACAGGGATTAGAACCCTAAATCAGAGCTTCTGGTGTGCCCAAGGGACATAACCCTGGACAGCATCATTTCTAACATTAATTTCCTGATTGTGTGACTGTTGTTAAAGTAGATCTCTATACAGTTCTGGAGTGATTGAAAGGTGAATGGGATTTTTGCCCCTCTTAGTCATGTGTTTATTTGCTAAACAGCAGTGTCAGCAAGTTTAATTTGCAATTTTGCATTTTTCTGCGTGACTGCAATGTATTTGAGGTCATTACAACAATACAATGCTGTTATCTACGACATCTCCATATATAATCACTGGTTCACTTCATTTGTATTATGGTATGGGCCGATGGACATAATTGAAATTCAATAGGAAAAGTACATTTTGAAGTAGGCTGGGCAAGTATGTTTTGAACACACCTATGATAAACTGTTAAATTTTGATTTATTGTCCTTTGCAGTTGTCATATGTAAGTCAGTCTCCCAAATCTCAGCGAATAAACATCAAAGAACTCCATCTCAGTTGTAGAATTGGGCAAATATAGACTGTCTCATCTCTTGAAAATTTGTTCTGTGCCCTTTAAATGTGTTTTTTCTTTTTGTAGATATATATTTTGAAGTATGATAATTCTGTTTCTTGATTAAATGTCAGCAATGATGGGCATTGATGGCATACATGCTTCTTATTTGAAAATTTCTACACATAGCTGATTTGAAAAAGATACAGTGAAACATTCCTTGTCTATGGTGAAGTCAACTTCATTTCTGTCAAAAACTTTTTTTCAAGAATACACTTCGACAAGAACGTCCTTCCTACTAATCCTGGTTTAAATGTGTCTGACATGGACAGGCTCCTTACACTGAGGTGGTGTGTGTGGGTTGTGACAGCTATTTCAGGAGGAATGTAGACATGATGAGAGCCTCCGTGTTGTCTAAGATGTAGCAATCTCTGCTCAAACAATAGGCATAGCGAGACATCAGGTCACAAGATGAGACAGTGTCACAGTCATACACTCCCAGAAGTTGCCCCGACAAATTGTCAGGTTTTGTAAGCTGTTGGAATGCCCCAAATTTACTGTCTTCTATTGTTGCTTCATTAAAATATTTCTGTCTGAGATATTTCAGTGTTGCAGTCCCACTCAATCTCCTGATAGGCAGAATACACATACAGGGGAATAGTGTGCTTGTTGGACTGTTAATGGTTAATGAAAGCCAGGCAAATTTCAGGACTTATTTCATACATTTTGAGGGTAATTTGCTGCGATGTATTGAGTGACAAGCATCCAAAAATGTCAAGACAGGCTTGAGTTAAATTACTCACCAACCATGATAGTTATGAAAAATCAGTTTCTGATGATATTATCTTGTTTATGTCAGGAGCTGTTGGTGCACTGACATGTTGTCCATGATAATGCAACAAGTGGTCTTAATCACAAAACCTTCGCTTTATAGAGTTGGCTTAAGGACCCGGTTTGATTCCCCACTGACTGTGTGAACTCAGTTTCTGGTATACCCGCCGTATTGCTGGAATATCATGGCAGGGACACCAGAAATGGGCTTCACCACAACCTTCGCTTTACCCATGTGGGATTCTGACTGACCAGGGTCTTCGGTCTCCAACGCTTTTACCACTAGGCTACCCCACTGCCCCCGTTAATGGTTTGATCCACCAGCAGATACCTTTTTCTTTGGCACCTGCGGGTCCCCAGGATGTCACTTTAGAGCAGACAATGACAAGGATCCGTTTGCTCTGTGTGATTGTTCACTGATGTGATGGATCCCTACAGTCACTGACAGTTACTGTTATTGAAAAACATGGATGAAGAAAGTACAGTTTTTGTCATTAACTTGAACTGAATTATTTTTTTTAATAATTTACTTCATGTGTCTTGAGAGGCAGGAAAGGATGTGTCTCAGATAAGGTCATTGTTGTTTTATGCTGCACTCAGCAATTTTCCAGGTTAATGACGAAAGTCTGAAAATAATGTGGACAATCCAGTGATTGAAATCATGAGCATCGATCTACGCAGTTGTGATCCAATATCATGTGTCAACCAAGTCAGTGAACCTGACCACCTGATCCCGTTAACCACTTTACTGACAAGGATGGGTTGCTAAACACCAATTCTAACCTAATCTTCACAAGTGACAAGGTCATTGGTAGATCCAGCTGACTGATAAGATCTGATTGCTCTCTGCATGTTTGATGTGCCAGTATATGTTAATTTTGATCAGTATGATTATTCTATTTTACGCCACTTTTAGCAATATTCCAGCAATATCACGGCGGGGGACACCAGAAATGGGCTTCACACATTGTACCCATGTGGGGAATCGAACCCGGGTCTTCGGCGTGACGAGCAAATGCTTTAACCACTAGACTACCCCACCGCCCCTGATTATTCTATGTCTGATGTTGATGTTTGTGTTGCAGAGGAGAGGCAGCTCCTGGATGGTGAGAAGCCTCTGTGGGTGCAGCTCAACTGGGGCAAGGATGTCCGGGAGGGGCGCTTCCTGCTCAAGAGGGTGGATGAGGTCACCAGAAAAGGGGTGAGTGTTGAGATATTCAGCTCAAGTTCTGAAATCCCCAAATTTCCCAAATTATGTAAACATAGTTACATCTAATGTTTTGGATTTGTTGAGATGACAAAGTGTTATTATGGTAGTGAATGCAATATTAATATACCTTTCATGTTAAGGAAGTGAAAACTTTGAAAAAGTAACAACTTGCACTGTAATGGTATTTGTTCCTAAGTTGTCTGCAAGGGCACTTAGCTTGGAATCAGAGAGAATCATCAGGCACTGCCTCTCAGACTGATTTGTCCTCATTGTGTGGAAGTGTATACCAATACAAATATGCCCTTTGCTGCTGTGGTGAAAGTCCTGAGATCCTGCTTGGACTGGTTGTCAGTCATAATTAGTTCACTGGCATCACTGAACCATAGACTTGAACCTAAAACTGCAGATTGCCATGGGGAGATAACCTTTGTTGCTTCTTTGAGAGGTCAAGGTCAGCAGGAAGTGAACTGGTTGCACTGAAAAAAATTAAAATCAACTTCAATTTTAACTGGGACAGTTTGAATTTGGAATCAGAACTGATGCCTGAATGATCCGAAGAATATAATAGTGTCAAGTGAACATCTCATCAAAAATATACATTTCAGACAACTAATCTGTTGGTATCCATTGTAACAAGAGCAGGTTCATTACGCCATTAGACAATGATAGTGCGCTGGAATGGCCCTAGTATGGCAGTTATGAGGGTCCTGGCTATCATGTTAGCTATTTGGTAACACCCACACTGTTCATGTGTCAGCGTGCCATTTTCTGTCACTGTTTTCCTTATATATCCCGCCCATGCATTCCTGGATGTAAATCCTCCGTGTACATCTGAGACGGAGTGTAAGACTATCTGTACATTAGATACTGGAACAATTGGATGCTTGATATCAGGGGTTGGTTTCATCAGATAATGTTGGTATTAGTTTCATTTAGTTTCGTTGTAGATATGTACCAGCAGAGACCATATACCGGTATATGGTCTCTGGTACCAGGAATTTATTGAAGATTCAGCATGGTACCCTTGGTAGACAAAGTGGGGAAAAAAGTATTTTTATTCTTAATTTGGACTTCTATTTTTTCACAAATTGTATTTGTATATTTGTTATATATACTCATGGAAACAAATAAGGGAACATGTGAAAGTACAAGTGTTCCTTTATATATTTCTAGAATTTCACCCACAGTGCAATACATGCTTTGTGAAGAAACTTGGTAAAGAGTAAAGGAACACTTGTACTTTCATATGTACCCTTAATCGTTTCCATGAGTATATTTAAATGCCTATGTTTTGATAGACTATTCTATTCAGAAATGCAAACTAAACATTAAAGTCTCTTCATGTTTATTGTTTCTTTTATCAGTGAAGTGGTATCTGCGTAGCAGTTTAAAATTTGGTTAACATGACAAGCGTACGGTAGGTGTAATTCCATCTTGGGAATTCTTCATGCAATTTGTTTCAAACTTGTGGTTGTAGTGTATTCAGTTTAAGTCAAGATTCAGCTTATATCATTAATATAGCAGTTGAAACTTCCTGAATGGAGCCTGGTCATGCTTCATGTGTACTCTGTATGTCAGGATTGTAGACATATTTCATAAAACATGCTCCAGATATGCTTGAACACATGTAATAATATCCTGAAACATTCTTGCCACGGAGCACCCACTACTGGACAAGATCTGCCACTGTTGCATCTTGATAAAAATATTAATCCTGTCCTCCTTCGATCCTCCCTAGCTTCTCCTGAACACGTTTCTTCTCATTCCTGACCCCCACAATCCTTCCAGGAATGGCAGTACATGCTTGTCTCTTCTCTAGCTAATCAGCTTGGGGCTCAAACAATGGCAGTTATCTCATGACTTGGGTTGAGTTACATCTTTACAGAAAGGCCACCATTCCACATCCAGACTTAGATATAGACCCCAAGAATTTCATTTAACGACCACTTGTGGATAGGTAAAGATGGAATAACTGAGTGAATGGTTTTATCAAAATTTTCCTTTATTCGGGTAATTGGTGTTTTGAATGGCTTCATGTCAGTGAAAGAAATGTTCTCGGATGTTGGTGTTTGTGTATGTATTCTATTAGAAATTTAGATTGGAAGGAATTCTGTATTGCAGATATATTCTAGGTTCCCAAACAAAGTGCCATTGACAGGCAAACTCGGAAGATTTGTTAAGTTTGTTCATAAATGAGATTTGTTTTGACATTGGCGGATCCAGAGAGGTGTGTGTGTGTGTGTGTGTGTGTGTGTGTGTGTGTGCGCGGTGTGTGCAAGTGCAACAATGTGTGTGTGTCGCGTGCGTAACAATATCGAAGCGTAACAATATCGAAGTTTAATGTTTCATTCCAACTAGGGAATTTTACTGATGTTTGCTGCAGATTTAGGCAGGTGTAGATAAATTGCTGGTATGATTTAAGTTGATGTTTCTGTTACATGGAAATTATAATTTGAAGTAGATGATTAATTTGTGGAATGTATCAGTTTGATAAAGAAAATTCAGCCTAATCAGTATTTTAGCTGTATAATACATCTTTGAAGTTTGCAACACAGTCTCTAAGTTTCCTCAAAGAGTTAGTCATCATTTAATGTTGTATACAAATTGCCCCCAATTACCAACCCAATCATGAGCAGTTCTTCTACGACCATAACCTGAAGCCTAAAGCTTTTGTGTTGCAAGATAAGATGCTCATGCAGGTCTCACCTTCGACCTTCTAGATGGAGGTAAAATTGAGGTATCTTTTCTGTCTGGCTGCTATTCTCCCCAAATGAGGCATCAAACGCAGGCCTCATGTACCTCACATAGAAAGTCAATGTTGACGAGGGCTGTTAAGTCTCGACATTGTTCACTACAATATGAGAACCCTTTGACTCGCTTACACACTAACTTGAAAGTGTTTTGGGGGGGATGAAAAGAATGTTCTCATCACCACTTAGCTTCTTCTGATATTTCACATGGATATACTAATTTGTTTATCAGGAGGACATTGAGATAGGTTTAGTGGCTGTTTGATGGAAATATGGAATGATAGATAATTAGGCTCCAGTGATTTGGTGTAATGGATGTTCTTTCAGGTGTTGTCACGACTTTGGGGATTGACAGTACGGATGATTTTTTCGACCATGTTTTTTACCATTGATGTTTTTGTAACTTGAAGTTAAACTGGTTTCATAAATACTGTAGTTGATGAGATGTTTTGGTCTTTTGAAATTTCAGGGTTTGGGATGAATGTTTTAATGTAACATTCCTCGTGATTTAACCATAAACGTTCAGGGACAAACTGTACTTTTACACTATATATACATTGGGGTAGAGTGAACTGTATTTCTTTATTATATCATGCTATGCTATGCTATGCTATGCTATGCTATGCTATGCTATGCTATGCTATGCTATGCTATGCTATGCTATGCTATGCTATGCTATGTCTCATGTTATCTTATCTTATGTTATCTTATTACTCCTTTGCTGATAATCTTTTGCAAGGCTTCTTAAATCTGGCGCTGGATACGAGTTCTTACTGGTATAACGGGTTTGTTAGGTGATTTCTTTGAGTGGCATTTTTTAAGTTGGGAATTACAATATAGAACTGACATTATGGATAACAACTTCTTTCATTTCGTGAGTGTGACATTTTGATACAGATTCTTATACATTGTCACCATTCCTGCTTGACAACGGTACAAGAATCTCTATCGAAACATTGCTCCCGAAATAAAAGAAGTTGTTATCCATAAAGTTAGTTCTATATTGTTAGATGTGTCTTAATGAAACACATAGCAGAAAGAAGATGGTCGTCACTTACCAATCGATTGCATGATAGATAACTCTTACAGCATCCACTCCAGACCTATATATGTCTATGCTGTGTTTACATCAGGTCTCAGGTCAACTTCAGGTGAATCAGTTACAGATCTGTCAGAAGGGTCATTGGTTTTATGGTTATTGTGTTGTAAAGTAATTGCCCCTGTTAGCTCTTAGAAAATACCCCCTGATATGAATGCCTGGATTTGAAGTTAGTTGTGCCTGTCCCCATCAGTGCAGCAGGGTGGCGATGGAAGGGTGTGCATTATGTGTGAGGTCATGCTAGGGTAAAGAGGGACCTGGCCTGGTGTGAGTATCTGATCAATGACATAGCATGGATGTTGTCACCTCGAGGTAGGTTCAGAAGCTGTCATCTGAACTGAGTGAAAAAATGCTAGCTTTATCTGTATAAATATTTTTGTCCCCTGCCGCAACGTGGAAGGTCATTGAGAGAGAGAGAGAGAGAAATGATGACTTTAAGGGGGGTCAGCAATTATGTACACACGTACTAGGGGGGGTCAGCAATTTTGTACGTAAAAGTATGTTCAAAAATATGCTTAGAAATTATGGGAAGGTCATTGATTTTGTACATGACATACAGGGGGGGCATTTATTTTGTACATAAATTTTAGGGGGGGGTGTCATTCACATTGTACATACTTCTCCATAAACATCATCACCACCACCCCTAAATTTTGAATGGTCCCTTAGCAGCGGGGACATTGCCATATCAGAGGCAAACACTTGTTTTTATGGTACTATATTGTAAACATTGTAAGTCATGTTGAAGTTGGTAACTTGTTTCAAAGAGGAAATTTATGTAATTAATGTGGAATGATAACAATATATATCCTTCCTCTGTGCCCCAACTTCTAAATGCCTCTCAAAGAAGTTATATGATTAATGCTAGTGTTAAAAGTGTGTATGATTCCAGATGGTCCTTGTGGTCCCTGGAGTGAAGTTTAATGAGCACTAATATTCAGATGAAATGACTATAGATAAGCTATGTTATGGTGCCATGAACATTGACTTATTGAATATCAAGTGAACATCATTGCAAAAGTGTTGGCAAGGGTATGGTTGTGTACCACTTTAAGCAATATTCCTGCAGGGATGCTAGAAATGGGCTTTACAATTTGCACCCAAGTGGGGAATCAAATGAGACTGACAGACTGAGTTTGGTTTTATGCCGCTTTTAGCAATATTCCAGCAACATCACCGTGGGGGACGCTAGAAATGGGCTTTACAATTTGTACCCAAGTGGGGAATCAAATGAGACTGACTGACTGAGTTTGGTTTTACGCCGCTTTTAGCAATATTCCAGCAACATCACGGCGGGGGACACCAGAAATGGGCTTCACACATTGTACCCATGTGGGGATTCGAACCCGGGTCTTCGGCGTGACGAGCCAACGCTTTAACCATTAAGCTACCCCACCACCCGAATCAAATGAGAGCCTTTGGCATGATGAATGAACACTTTGTCTACTGGCTTCCCTGTCACCGTTGTAATTTGTATAAACTGCCTTGACTTAATTGACCAATAGAGATTTATCTTGACCTACATAACCTGGAATCCCCAATTACAAATTTTTAAGGGTTGTTTTATGGAAATGTGAGGGTCCTCCTGTAACATAATGCTACGGTGTAATGTACTGTAATGAAAGATGAAATGCTTAAATCACAGTATCTTTATTATCTTGTAAAAATCGTTGGTACAATGAATATCATTGGGCATCCCAGAATATGCAATATATATGATTTCTGTGGACATTCAGCTTGAACGTAGTGGACGCACATTTCTGTGTCATTTAAAGCCTTGGATCAGGGCCCCGTTTCACAAAGCTAATGTAGCATTACGACTGTCGTATGTCTATCTTACAGTATAGGTCGTTCCGACAGTCGTAGCGCTACGATAGCTTTGTGAAACCTGGCCTCAGTGTTCTAACTGTCTGTGGACAAACCTGTGAGGCTACTGGCTTAAACTATGCTACAAATATCATTCTGTGTTGATTCTAATGCTGTTATTAGATGACTACAAGCTGTGCTCACTAGACTGTACTCAACTGAGGCTTCTAATGACAGACTCACAGTCAGCTCTATTACATTTTTGACAATACTCCTGACGGGTTTTTACGTAATGAAATATCAAAAACTAGATATCAGATACAGGATGTTTGTTGATGCATCACCTTCCTTGACATATAAATATATATCATGGAAATTGTCCTTTAATTGGATTAACAACATGTGTAAACATGCTGACTTCAGACACAGACGAGCTGGTGTCAATACACTCCATCATCTGAAGATATAGTTCAACTCCCAGAACAATCAACTTCTCGGGACAAGCACATTATATATTTATGATAAGACGATTTTATTACAAGACATGAGTGGAATTAGGTCTGGTTTGTTGATCATGCATGACTTAATTAGTGGGCCAGTGCAGGCTATCTTTGTTGATGGATGCACGTTGATGGATGCACTAACATTGCAGTTGTAGGGAGTATTACCTTGTCCTTCAGTCTGTATCTGTTCCTGAGCCATAGCCTTGTTCCAAGTCTGTACTGAAAGTCCATGGCTGTGGTTAATTCTATACCTATAATAGGCAAGTCAAGGTAACCTGACGGTAAAGACATTAGTCTTTTGTAGGGACAATTTGTTTTTATATTTATATAATCTAGAAATTATAGTTGAATAAATAATTATTGCCTCAGCAGCCTTTGCTGGTCTACCTATCATTCACCCAGCCCTTTCTGAAGTAGTAAATGAAGCAAGTGTAGAGTTTTCAAAGGTCGAAATTGCCCATTTCACAGATGATGATGATGATGATGATGATGATGATGATTAAGTTAAGATAATTAAGTTTTGTATGAATTTTTATTTTTGATTTCTCTGAGGCTTCTTGTCAGAGGTTTAATGTAGTAGCATCTTAGATATTTTCAGAGACCGTGTTTAAGTCTGCATTGTCCATGGGGAATCGGTATAGGCTAGTGGTGGTCCGATTAATTGAAATAATCGAAGATTGGTCGCAGTGGCCAAATGACCAAGCAATCAATCACGTTTTCTCATAATCGAACACAAACGATTTTGGAACCGCTGTAATAGAGTTTTAAATACTTGATGATGGAACATGTCTAGGACGTTGTCAGGGCCTGAAAACGTGTTTATTTCTAAGAAAACTCACTTCACTTTCTGAAAAGTCATGACTGAATATTTCTTGAAGAATCTGGGAAGTTAATGTTACACTGGAACTTAATCATTTTACACTGGATGTGAAATGTGCAAATGTAATTTGTGCAGTTTCTAAAAACAACAACAGAGAACCAAATGTTTTTTTCTTTATACTTATCTGCAACTACAACCTGAATAGGAAAATCTAAAAAATGACGCTAACCAATTTTTTTTCGATGATTGGTCGTTGGTATTGAACCAATCATCATTTGTGAGATTTCAACCAATTCCCAACACTAGTATAGGCAGGGCCACGTGGCATGAGTTACCAGCGTCTTAATAGCTGCCTGGATAGGGAAATGATTGCCCATTCATGAAATTGATGTATCCTGATGTCGATAGCTATAAGGTCGAAATGCCACACTGTTGTGTTTCTGGTAAGGAAGCACTGTGGATTATGATTAAGTGGAAATGTATTGCATAATGGTTGTTGGGTTATTGGAACCACTTGTAACACTGGGTTAAAGTGTTGAGTGCTTCCCGAATAACATGTGACATGATTGGAAACAGTTTGGTATTGACATTAACGTAGCTTGGTTACTCTGGAAAATGATTGCAACGGTACGAGAATAATATAGTGTAGGGAAGAACTGTGTACATAGACTGTATTTGAGATGTACCTAAAAGGAAATTTCTATTTTTTTAATGATGTAGACACCACCTGATGAAATTGATTATATTTATTATATTTGTTTTGTATGACTTCATTTTAAAGTCTGTTTTGGACCTTGATTCCAGGCTACAGGAGATTGGCCTGAACAGGAAAAAGCTGCTTCTGCTGACCAGGGCTTTAAACGGAAACTGTCCAAACGAGAGAAAAAAGAAAAGAAGAAAAGAGAAAAAGACAAGAACAAAGAGAATGTGGACAAGAACGACAGCAGTGTGGCGGAGAGGCTGTACAATGAGCTGCCAGAGAACAGCTTCACCAGGAGCATCTCGAACCCTGAGGCTGTCATGCGGCGCCAGCGCCAACAAAAGTTGGAGAAGAAGCTGCAGCAGATGCAGGGAAATGACGGCACCTCCGACTCAGGTGAGAATGAAATCCATAAATTAAATTTGTCCACCTGTAGTCAGGAAGTGTTCACCACTATTTGTATGTTCCTTGGTTGCTTCTATGATGATCTAGGTTCATATCTTTAGCAACCCATGCTTGTCATAAGATGCAACTAGACCGTGGGGTAGCCAAGTGGTTAAAGCATTCACTCGTCATGCCGAAGGGTATAATGTGTGAAGCCCATTTCTGGTGTCCCCCACTGTGATATTACTGGAAGATTGCTAAAAGCGGCGTAAAACACTCACTCACTCACTCATAAAATGCAACTTATGGGTTTGGGTGATGAGGCTTATCGACATGGTTGGTGCATGTCATGTGATCACAGATTGATGCTCATAATGTCATTCACTAGAGTATTTGGTCGCGACTTGTTTATTTACAGACTGCCATCATTTAGCTTGAATAGTGCTGAGTTGGGTGTAGAATAAGAAACAAAACACAAACACTCCTAGGGTGATAAGGTAATCAGTTATATTCCCCCAATGCCTCAAATCTATTTCTGGCTTCCACTGGTGTCACATAACTGGAACATGCTGTTTGGTATTTACTCACTCACTACTTACTCATGTCTTGCAGAACTCGTAACAACAGTAAGTAGGTGTGAACTCGCTGCCTAAGTGTGTGATCACGCTCTTAGCTTTTATTAATTACATTGCACTGATTATGTAAAAAGCATTCTGTAGTCTGTCTTGAGTCATTTGACCCTTGAATATCTGAGTTAGAATTGATCTTCAATAACTCATTCTTGTCGTAAGAGGTGACTAACAGGCTAGCTGACTTGGTTGACATATGTCATCGTATCCCAATTGCGTAAATCGATGCTCATGCTGTTGATCACTGATTGTCTGTTCCAGACTTGATTATTTACAGACTGCCGCCATATAGCTTGAATATTGCCGAAAAAACCAACTCACTCACTCACACTTGAGTCATTTAAAGAGATATGTCCGTGCCATATTTACTCTTGAAGAGGGAGCAGTTTGAACAAATGTAATAACCATGGACATGAGTATTTGAAACTGATGCAAGAAGGTTAAATGTTTTAAACAATCACTGATTGAAGATGTAGACTCCCTTGTGAAGGTGCTGATATTGATAAAGCCTGTCATGGGTATGACAGCTTGGTGTTACACCACAATAACAGTTTTTGTATCAGTCCAGTTCACGAACATTCATGAAATGACAATTAGAGTTATATTTCCTCCAAGTCTGACACTGGGGCACAAAATCTCAGTGAGAACTGGAGACAGCATAGTTCCCTGTCCCACACAACCCTGTTGGTAACAGAACCCTTTATGCCCGAATCATGTCCGAAATGTCAACTCAGCAAAATAATTCCAGTTATTCCCACATGGAGGTATTTGTAAAACTTGGTCCTATTCAGTTGTTGCTGCAACAATTTAACATGACTGTATGAAAGTATTCGCTGGGCAAGGTGGCATGTCTTGGCCGTAGATCAAGAGCTTACAGTGGCAACTGGAAGCCCTGCATGCAATGGTGTGTCATGTCCCATGCAGCGGTGCTACTTTGTGGCTGGGCTCAGGCCCTGCACACTTGGAAATTGCATTCCACTTTGGGGTGGTGTATACAATAGAAACTTTTATTGTCATTGAATGGTTTATTGTCATGATATAAATCTTCCTGTGAGAAATGTATTATGAATTTGGGTAGTTGACAATATCAGTCTGTGATCAAAGTGATATTCTTGTTCCAATTCAGAAATGAAAGGATTTGACTACAAGTAAAACATGGAGCAATCTTAGAAGGTGTTTCACTAAACTTGTGTTGTTTTTGTAATCTAATTATTTTTTGAATAAGTGAATGGCAGTGGATGTGTCCAGTTGGGACTAAGGGAATAATTAATTTATGTTTATTGATTCATAATGAAAATTGTTAACTAATTGGGGGTTAGTTAGTTTGGTTTTATGCTGGTTTTAGCAATATTCCATCAATATCATGGCGGGTCACACCAGAAATGGGCTTCACACATTGTTCCCATTTTGGGAATCGAACTTGGGTGTTCAGTGTGAATGATTTAACCACCAAAGCAAATGCTTAAACCGTTTGGCTAGCCTACCGCCCCAACTAATTGAGACCTGCAGTAATAAATTGTTAAGAGGATCAAATCGAGGATTTTAAATCTGATCAACTTGTTAAATCTGGAGCCCCTGACAAAGAGTCAAAAGTTAGATTGCAACTTGAATAACAATTTCTTATGGACTGACCTGTGAAAGTTTTTACTAATGATCACAAAGAATAGTGTCACCAAAATTAAAGACTCTGAACTTGTGTCATTTAAGCCCCTGCTCCATGTGCTCTGTTAGCTTGAGAGGGTGTTTATTCTGTCCCCAGTGTGCAGTTGATAGTGGATTTTAGCAGCACAGTGTTGTGTAGTAGCTGCATCCCGCTGGGAGTGTAGAGACGTTGTTTGTTGTCTGTGTTTGTGAGGCCAGGGATGGCAGGGACCGTGAAAGGAACTCACTTCAAAGAGTCACCAGACTGGACCACATTCTAAGGGCTGGGGGGAAATACATTAGAGGACAAAGTGCCATTATCATGGTCGTCATGAGGACATTATGACATGAATATGTGTATACTGGCTGTCATGAATGAAAATGTGTGGACATTAGTTTACTTTGTAGAAGTGTTTTGGGGTTTTTGCAAGTGTCAGGGCATTATGAATGGTACATGTACAAACTGCCATTAATGTGATAATATTAATATAGATGAACAAATATTCTTTGTGGGACATATGATGAAAGAGGTTGCTGTTATCAATATAAAGATGAATAGTGTCATTTCGTTTTTTCTGTGTTTGAATTGAGATTTAAGATACTCTTTCCTGTTCTTGAAGCTGTTTCCACTGAACCCTGTGGAATAGTATGGCCGACATGTGTGTGAAACATAGAAAATCCTCTTTTACTGCTTTCCTGGTACACCGGATCAGATCATTCACCCTTATTTCAGCTGAACAGATCATCCACCTCTGCTTTAGCGGAACAGATTATCCAGCTCTGCTTTAGCTGAAAAGATCATCCATCTCTGCTTCAGCTGAACAGATCATGCATCTTGCTTCAGTTGACCAGATTATGCACTTCTGCTTCAGTTGAACAGATCATCCACCTCTGCTTTAGTTGAACAGATAATCGACATCTGCTTTAGTGGAACAGATCATTGAGTTGAACAGGTCTTGCACCTCTGCTTCAGCGGAACAGATCGTCCCCAGCTCTGCTTTAGTCGAACAGATCATTTGGTTGAACAGATAATGCACCTCTGCTTCAGCTGAACAGATCATCCAGCTCTGCTTCAGCTGAACAGATCATTTGGTTGAACAGATCGTGCACCTCTGCTTCAGTTGACCAGATCATGCACCTCTGCTTCAGCTGAACAGATCATCCACCTCTGCTTCAGTTGAACAGATCATTCACCTCCCATCTCTACTTCAGTTGAACAGATCATGCACCATGTACATTAGCCATGCTCCAAGGCTGTACTGAATGCTAAGCCCATTAGTGTATAGTAATTCTATCCTTCGAAGAGGCAAGTCTAGATAAGCGGACAATACAAATCGACCCCAGTCTCTTATTTAATATTTTTTTGAAATTATCATTTAAACTATTAATTTTTACCTTAGAGACTTGTGCGAGTCTACATATACTCCACCACTCTACCCTCCACACAATGTATTTACAGGAGAAGGTGCCATCATGTTGATAGCATGTGCATGGTCAGGCTATTTGTTCCATGTATTTGTGTTCTCTGGACCTGTTGGTTTCCTGCAGTGTAAAGCATGTAATGCAGCCTGACTTGTACCTGTCGTGTCTACATGTTAAGCATGCATGTGCCATGTGAGTTTACACCGGATGGATTCCAGCAGGGAGCTGTGGTCCAGGTGATTAACAGGGAGGAAAGGAATACCCAGAGTAATAGTTCCGATATACAGGCACATCCTCTTCACTTGCTGAAATATTCTGTGGATTTGTCGAGTGTTTCTCAGACATCTGCATCACATCCAATACACTTGTGGCAGAATGTCGTGCTGTGGTCACTGCTTAAATTGAAATTCACCTTGATATATGCAGCAGTGTTTTGTTGCTTTTTTGTTTGTTTTATGCTGCACTGTATGATGGCGGTGATGGGATAGCCTACTGGGTAAAGCATTTGCTTGACATGTCACAGACCAGGGTTCGATTCCCCTCATGGATACAATGTGTGAAGCTCATTTCTGGTGTCCACTGACATGATATTGCTGGAGTATTGCTAAAAGTGGTGTAAAACCATATCAACTCACTCACTGTATGATGGCGGTCTAAAATTGTTACCTTGGTGATTTAGTTAGGCATCATATCCAGTGTGGTTTGGCAGGTGCTCACTCTATCACCCACATGTCAGATGTGTGCTGGATGACACTCAAGTGGCTAATGACACTCTGACAACCTTGGCATGTATATATACTACACTTAAGAAGTTACTGAACACCTGACTACTTCAAATGCCTATAGTTAACATGTCATGCCATGAAAAATCTGAATGTTCTTCAGCTTCAGTTGGGGCAGTGGGGTAGCCTAATGGTTAAAGCGTCGGCTCGTCACGCTGACGACCCGGGTTCGAATCCCCACATGGGTACAATGTGTGAAGCCCATTCCTGGTGTCTCCCGCCGTGATATTGCTGGAATAATGCTAATAGCGGTGTAACACCCAACTCACTCACTCACTCAGCTTCAGTTTAGTTGTGTATACTTTTAAATAAGCAGCGGTTGAAGTCAGACATAGGACAAGGACTTTGTTTGGTTCCCAGACCTTCTGCAGCTTGCATTTGTTGGGCACAGGAGGTCATGTACATGTGAACTTACAGACCTTGACTCAAGTGTGTAGTCGTCCCATAGACTCCTTTAGGCAGCATCTTCCCAGGCTCTGTGCACCACGGTGGGTAGGGAATCTCCCCTCTGACAGGCAGCAGCTAAGGAGTGCATGGAACGAGTTCACGTTTAAAATATTCGGCTACAATTAGTTCAGTTCCAGAACTGAAAGTCACTCACTTTAGGCTTGTACTTTCTACTTCTTCAGTCCACTCATTCCAGTTATTTCTGGACCATGGTTGGAATGAAATTTCTCTGTGGCTGAGCCTAAGACCTGTTTACTTCATTATAAATCATGCACAACATGGCTCAGAATCACCTGCAACAGCAGTGGCAGGATATCATAATTGTCATTTGGTCATAATAGAAAGACTTTGTAAGATCCTCACCAGGTTCAAAAGGAATAAGTCATTATGAGTGAAGTTCCTATTTTATTTTCCTCCTATAATTAGATAATATGCTCCCATTGAGCTATTCTAAAAAACTCTAAAACAAGGTTTGTTTGTACTATAAATCATATCTAATAAAGTTTGACACAGATGGATAATAAAATGGCAGCCAGCCCAACCCCTTCTCTGTCCCTATCACATGCCAGACATTGCATTATGGGTGACCTCCCATAGACCTCCCAACCTTGTCTAATTGTTCAGGGATCCTTCCAATTAATTGTGTCACACAACATGATAGCAGCCACTTGCGCTGGAATCCTGGGACAGGACTGCAGGAGGGCTGGGATCTGATTCATCTCTTGGTCAAAACAAAGGGATGAGGCTTAATAAAGAACAGGGCTGTACCACTGATGCCAGAGGCCAGATATGTGGCCTGGGATAGCAAAACTAATGTTAACATTGTTTCTCTGTGGTGGAGGTATAATTGGCTGTGAGGTCCTTTGAAGAGGAGAGTTCAAAATAATATTACAAGGGTTTATGCCTACCTTGAGAGTGAGCATCAGAGGGCTTGTGAGTCTGGTGGGATCAGGTTTATCTCTGGAATGGGGTTTTGGCGAGATAGAGCAGTTCCTGCATTGTTTATTACACATCAAAAGACTTGATTCAGAGCTGGAAAGTAAGGAAGAGATTGGTGTGTGCTTGTTCCTTCTTTATAATTCTTTGTTGATTTTGGAAATAATAAGAGTGTGAGCATAATTGAGAGATCAGACGCCATTGCACTTCATCGCTAGAAAATAACCAGTCTCGATTATAGACTGAAACCATTTGATGTAAAAGGCAAAATAGTGGTGAAAATGGCATTAAAGGATCACTAAAAATCATATAACCCATGAAGATCCGGGCTAGAATTGGTCTTCAGCAACCCATGCTTTTCATAGTCTACAGAGATGCCAACCACTCCAAATTTGGCGGAGTTACTCTGGTTTTCAAGTACAAGATCTGCTCTCTGATTTCTCTTTAAAAAACTCTGATTTTTGAGAAAAAATTCTGAATTTATTTTTATGGTATACAATTTTGTAAGTCACCGGTGATTTATTTGAGTGAACACTGGTAAAAGCATTGAGAAGCTTAGCGTATGATCCTTTGGGTGTCGATTGTGTATATTGCGTGCTATTGATGATGAAGTTTCACAAAGTTTTTCCGAATGCATGTCTTAGTCCTTATGAAAGTGAAACAAAATGGCAAAGCCGATCACGTGCTCACCCCCAACTTTCACCTTTGGTGCTCAGGCCTGGCTTTCAGCCAGTCACGACTCCGTTTTCCTTAGATTCAGGGTTGGCATCTCTGCATAGGAGGCGAATAACTGCATCGGGTTGTCAGGCTCGCTGACTTCGTTGACACATGTCATCGTATCATATTGTTGATCACTGGTTTGTCTGATCATTTTGTTGATATAAAAATGCACTCTCACTCACGCAATCAAATGTTACTGTGTATTCTCATTACTGACATAACGCAAACAGCATGACAGCTCCGATCAAGAATACGACACAATGAGAATGGACTCGTCCTAGGGTACGTTTCTGTATTCTCATTATGGCCAGGGTACGTTTCTGTATACAGAAATGTACCTGGGGTACAACGGCCCCTTCAGCCACACTGACAATATCTTAGCCATGAAGCAATGAAAACAGCAATTGTTGCACATTCATGTAAAGTGGAACAGTAACATGAATATCACAGAATCATCAGTGGGCATTCATGCCTTAATCATCCGTTGTAATCAGTCAAATGTTGCACTCCTTAGGCATTCCAGGATCCAATGAAAGTGACTGATAAATGTAACACTTTCCTACTATTCATGTATTTGAAGATAAAAATTGGTTTGAGTGAAGTTGAATAAAGTTTTTTATATTCTGCAAAATGACAAATATGAAATAGAGATTTTACTTTTGAAGTATGCAAAAACAAGTTCCTGCACTAGTGTTGTCAAGAACGAAGGCGAAGGATAATTAATGCAGAGTAACATGACACACAAGAGTTAGTTGTTAGGAGGATACTACATTCATCTTTGCAATAGTGTCGTCTTACACAGGGCAGGGGTTGTTGGGGAGAGCTAGTGAAATTACCCCTGCCATCATCGGGAGGGCAAAGGTGACATTGCATGTCATTAACCCCATGGCTGGCTCATGACATTAGCCATTCAAGGTCAAGGTTAATTTGTGTTTTGGTAACAAGCACTTGAAAAGAGAAGTCAACAAATGTTGAATTTAAAAATGGTGAAAGAATGTGATTGCATGGAAATGTTTGGATGTGGTGAAATTTTAGAATGAATTATTTGATGAAGGTGTTACTTGAAAAATGTAATGCTTTTTACTTTATTGGCTCTAGTGAACACAACCACCTCAAAACTTCCTGTATTGTTAAAATCTATTCATCATTGTCTCTTTAACTTGATTTACTCATTTCTTTACTTATATTTGTTATGAGTTTGAAGTGGGGGGCACAGGAGGAACTGTCATCTTTAGGCTTTGCAATTTGCTGTACAGAGTTGCTTCCCTTGGCCATACCAGAAGGATGATTGTTGGTTCAGATCCCAATTCACACTGATTATTATTTCTAGGTTTGACAGTCCCATATTCTTGCTCAAGGACTTCATCAGAGAGGCAAATATTTAACCACAGACTGACTTTTTATAAAATTGCCATGGTTGGGAACTGAACCACTTGCAGCTGTGTGGAAGCCTGGATTCAGACCATTGGGCCACCCTTGTAGAGACACATGTTGTCATCCAGGGTTAAGATAGCCAACAGGCTGTGTTAGTCTTGACAGGTTGTTCCTGGCCATTACCAGAGATAACAGGGAAGACCCACCAGGTCCCAGGGCACTATGGTGTTTCCCATGTGGTGGTGCTTAAGATAATGTGTGGTCCACAAGTGCCCAATTAAACACTTCAGGGTACTTAGTAATATCTGAGGACTCACATCTGCTGCAGATTCCCCGCAGGAGCAGATCAGAAGAACAATTCAAAATTATTTGTTGATTTAATGGAACTTAAATATTGTGACGTAGATCAAATGATGATACATAAGAGAAAGAGAAATGAGAATTTGATTTGGTCCTTACTGAAGCACTTTCACCCTGTTGGGATTATAGACTTGTACAAGTCTCCAGTTTGGGGTAGCCTAGTGGTAAAAGCATTCGGTTATCATGCTAAAGATCTGGGTTCAATTCCTCACATGGGCACAACGTGTGAAGCCCTTTTTTGGTGTCCCCGACCTTTACTTTGCAGGAATATTGTGCAAAACCATAAATAACTCTCTAAGGCAATTATTTTAATAAAACTGGTAATTTTTGAGGTTGTAGTGCGTCCGTTGTAGAAATAACAAGCTGTCACTATAAAAGACCAGTGTATTTAGACTGTCCACATGTCTAGTGAGTGATTGAGTGAGCAAGTTTAGGTTTACGCCTCTTTTAGCAATATCACAGCAACATCACAATGAGGGACACCAGAAATTCGGCTTCACACATTATACCTATGTGGGGAATGAAAACCCGAATCTTCGGCATGATGAGCAAACGCTTTAACCACTAGGCTAGCCCACCATCACTTGTCCAGACTTCGTGTTTAGGAGGATCATTACTATCAGTACACTTCCATGGACTTCCAAGGCTAGGGAATACAGAACCAAATATGTTCCCAGTGGGTATTTCTTATATGTAAAACAACCGCCTCCGTGGTGTAGTGGTTAGAGCGTCTACCCGGAGTGCGGAAGGTCGCGGGTTCAATCCCCGACCGCGTCATACCAAAAGACGTTAAAATATGGTACTTGTTGGTCCCTGCTTGGCTCTCGGCATTAATGGGTACAACAAGGACTGGTTGGCTCGGAGTCAGTATAATGTGTCTGAGTGGGGTATTTATGCTTCACTGCGGCATGGTATCTCAGTGGGCTAGCACTATAAAACCAGTTTAAGTCTGAGCTAGTACAAGCAGCCGCAACATACACACGCATGCACGTCGTCATATGAGTGAAATATTCTCAAGCACGACATTAAACCCAATTTCACCTCACCTCACCTCACCTCACCTTATATGTAAAACAATAATCTGATGGCTGCAATGCGTGGCATTATTGTCAGTTGTATTATTTGTAATTGACTTCTGGTTCATCAGGTGCACCGAGCCTTTTGTCGCTCTGATAATTCTGACAGTGTCTTAACAATGTTTTTTATTTCTTGAATGATTGACGTCATTTAACTGACAGTGTGTATGATCTAATTGTATTTTATTTTATTTTTAATTATTTTTGTGTGTCAGGTGGCATTCTGAAGATATATGGCCAAGCCATCTGTCCTGATGTCCCGTACAAGACGTTACTGCTGTCCACGTCAGACCGCACCAACTCCGTCATCCGAGAGGCAATGCAGAAATATGGCATTGAGAAGGAAGATCCCTCCAGATACTGCCTGGCTCAGGTGGGTACAGGAGGGACCATGTTAAAAGTTCAATATACATGTATATAATTTAAAAAGTACTTTGCAGATACAGCCAACCACCATAGGAATTTGGAACCGAAAACTGTGTGGTCATTACCGAGGAGAAAGTAAATTTACTGAAAATTACTGTTATATCATCCAAACTTTACTGCTTCGCTGAAGACCCAGGTTCTATTCTCCACATGGGTACAATCTGTGATGCCCATTTGTGGTGTCTCCTACAGTGATATTGCATGAATATTTCTAAAAGCGGCATAAAACTAAATTTACTCACCCGCTTACTCCAAGGGCAGAGATTGGATAGGCACTAGCCTGTCTCACAGTCCCTGAACTGCTCTATTTTCCCTTCAGCAATTTCCCTTTATTCAGCCCTTTTTGCAATGCTAAAGCCTGAAATGTAGCACATCTAGATTTCTTCAGGTCCAATTCTCCCATCTCACTGGGGCTCCTTTTCAATTTAAAGGAATTATTTGTTTTTATCAAAATTATATATATTCTACAATTCAAGATGTTACTCCCTCACTTCATTGTAAAGACCCTGGACATTCCAGTTATGCTTTAAACAATGAGAGTAGTTCAGTGTGTCAATCAATATGTAATGAGCATTTGTTATAAATATGCTTTGTCTGAAAGCAAGAGCTTCAATCTTTTTAATTGAATCTGACCACTCACCTGTCTTGTCTCGGTAATGATTCCCATGATATTATGCTTTGGTAATTTTGGATAACACAACGCGAAGTCCTGCTGTCCTAACAAATCACTAAAGTTCAAAACTAAAACACCTGTGTCATGAATAATCTTAGATAAGAACAATACTCCAGAAGTTCCCCTGTAATCTGGTTTGTATCCTTCCAAAACAAAAGAGATTATTCAGGTTTTCACTGTTTCAGCCTTGTGTGACCAGACACTGGTGCTCTACCCCTGTGCAATATGTGTGTGTTTATGAGTGTCTGGAGTGATTTATTCAGCTGTCCCTGCCAGCAGTATACACAGGTCCAGAGGTTGTCTAAAGGTCCTGCATGTGGCCAGGGTTGTGCTGCTGGTGGTCAGCTCGGACTGACTGGACACACCACAACTGTTGGGCATTAGTGGCACATGGAGGCTGTTTGAGTGATTGGCCACATTAAACAAATACCATGATATTGTTTGGGGTTCTGTTAGTGCAGAAAAAACACTTTCTACATTAACCTTGTTATAGGTTACCTTCAAGTCTGCAAAAATAGATATTAATAAATACAAATGAACACAGGAAACCAAAAAATGCAAATTGTTTTAATTACAAGTCACTTGTTTTAGCTTTCAAGAAGAAAATCTTTATAAAAATACTAGAAGTCCATTGTTGTTTTGTCTGGATAAGTTTATATTGACTTTTAACATAAGTGGAGGTATTAATTGGTTCTTTGCTAGAGAACAGGTAGTGAAAGACCAAATGCTAAAAGAGAAAAGTGAAAATGTACTGCTGTTGTACACTGAAACAAACACAAATATAAAGTGCATTTGCAAATATCATCACCCTGATATTCCTGTTCAAGTACAGGGAACCCAAAGCAGAATAACAAAATTTTCAAGCAGGCACATGTTGTTGAATAAAACAATTTATGATGATTATTATTATTGTAGTTCATTTTTTCCCCAATTTTTAACATGTAATATGTGATGTCTTTGATTAATCGTCATCTGTGGATATATATCCTGTGCATGTGTATTTCTAGAGGAATGTATAGCAATGACATGGACTTTGAATGTGCCGCCATATTATCGAACTGAAGAAATATGTCATTTACTGTTAGAGACAGTGGTATATGTTAAGTGGTTCTGCTTGTTGCAGATGGTGCTGCCACCTGGGAGAGTGGAATACCATGGGGGACAGATAGGGGAGGAGCGGATCCTGGCGGAAGACGAGTGTCCACTTCTAATATTCGCACAATTCCCTAAAAGCAGAGGTGAGTTCCTGTGAAAGTGGTTTGACTGGTACTGAAAATAATGGTATGTTTCCTGAATCCAGCTTCAATCTGCTGACCATTTTGGTATGCTTCATTAACTTGTTGCAGATAATGATGTTGCAATAAGTCGTTAAAGGTAAAGATAAAAAGAACACAAAAGTATCCATGATATTTGTGTATGTGTTCAATTTTCCAATTCCAATGACCATTGGTGCAGGTTTTGTGAGTATTGAAATTTTGATGACAAGTATTCCTGTAAAACAGCAAGCACATTAATGTCAACAAAGCCCACAAATTGACAGTACATACTATTAATTACAGGTCAAGTAATTTTCCAACTACGATTGAGAACCGGTGACGGAGGTCAGCCATCACAGAAGAGACCCCAGAAGGCTCTGTCACACAATGACCTTCGATATTCACAAGATACCAAAAACATTAATGCAGAGGATCTACCGTTCTTGCTTGAGATGGATCCAAGAGGTGAGACTTTACATAGTGCAAGGGACACAGGCGACTCAGTTCTCTCAAGAGCTGCAGTCTAGTACACTGGCTTGCATCCCTCGGGCACATTAAAATCCTTGGATTGCCAGTTTCAGTCCCTGTTTTGCCCCTGGGTTCTGCTGATGATGCACTGAGGGTTAAACCCATCTCACTCACTCACTCACTAACTACATAGTGCTGCTGCACTGAGAATCATAGACTACTGGCCTTGCACTGTTATTGTAACTTTTGGTGTCTCAGGCTGCTTCTATGTTTAAAGGGAGGCAACTCCTGAACATATTTGTAGAACCCTTTTATGAGTTGATCAGTTATGACGTTGCACTGAGGGTTAAACCCATCTCACTCACTCACTCACTAACTACATAGTGCTGCTGCACTGAGAATCATAGACTACTGGCCTTGCACTGTTATTGTAACTTTTGGTGTCTCAGGCTGCTTCTATGTTTAAAGGGAGGCAACTCCTGAACATTTTTGTAGATCTCTTTTATGAGTTGATCAGTTATGCATATGATGTTAAGGGCACCTTCAGTGTTAATGACTGTCATCTTGTAAGATTACATTGCTTTTTATCCCAAATTGTCTGAATGTAGTGAAACTGACATTTTGAAGAAACAGTTTTTAACTGTGTTTTTATACGTGCAGGTGGTAAGACCAAACGCCATCTCCTGCCACTGAACGTGACGAAGTAGGCAGCGAGAGATCAGTGTCCAACAGCAGCCAGTACCTACAGGTAGGTCACCTACACTGTCAGCCTCCTTTGGATTCCACGTCGGGATTGGTCCCAGAAACTGTACTTGTAAGATACAACCCAATAGACAGTTGGTCAAACTTGATGACATTGTTTAATTGCCTAATCTTGTGGATTCTTTGCTCACAATATCAATCATAGGTTTGTTAGGTCTTGACTGGTTTAGTTGCTGGCCACAGTCATATAGTTGGAAGATTGCCGAGAGCAGCGTGAAACCAAAATCAACAAACATTGTCAACTGATAAAAGCACTGTCTTGTTCACACATAAGTTCTAGTAAAGAATAACATACTGTGAATTGGCCCTTTTTTGCCAGTAGTCACATTTTTCTGATCTGATGTTGAAGAAGGCGGTGATGGATAATACTGAATAATTTCGTACTTCGAAGTTTACACAGATTCCCGAACGTTGGTTGGTTGAGACAGCGGTCATGTGATCTAAATTTCAAGGTTCATTTCCCTTGAACCCTTCAAATCGTTCATACGTGTGTAAACATTGTTCATACGTGTGTGAACGTTTTCGAGCCGATCTGGGTCATGTGAACTTTTGCCGGAACTACTTTCTGGGTTTTCCCCAGGATACTCGCTGTCCAGCTTGACGTAAACAAAATAAATCATTTGCATTCACACTCCTTTTAATTTATACATATCACTTACTTGTTTTTGTATGTAACAAAAAGCACCAACTGAGCACAGTTTTGCAAAATCTGACCGACAACGCGTCCGACAACAAGTCCCAGCCAGTGCGACCTAATTTTCAAATTTCCGCTACGGTTTCAAGGAACCCCAAGATCTTGCTGCATTTGGGGATGCCAATTTAGCGAGCGATCCTGTTTCAAGTCACCCCAATTTTGGCAATGTCACTTCTTCACGACCAAACGGATTTCCAAATGTCGAGCATTGTTCCTTATCACAAGAGTTTAATCTCTCGCGGTTTGTGGGTTCTGCCCGTGATCTGTTTAAAACTGCTCATTAAATTTCACAATAAACTCACAAATAAATAGAATACACCAACAAGATCTGCTTCCTATTAAATTTCAGTGTATTATTACGCAGCGGTCAAACAATCCACATAGTTTTATAGGTACAATGACAGTTTGTCAAAATACATTGTTATTGATATTTGTTTTGTTTGATAATTTTATTGATGTTATGCATATTAAAGCAGTTTCAAACCTATTGACGAATTTGTTGTAATATTTTAAGAATGCTTTGAGAACTATTTCCTCAAAGGTTGGGATACATGTGTAAAAAAAATCGCCAAGTATACAAACATTGCTACAATACTGGTCTTGAACAGAATGTATTACAACATTTTACAGGTATTAAAACACATCACTGTAAGCAATGATCATGTAGAAGTGGGTGAAAAAACGTGTATGTGTAAACATCAAAGTTTGAGAAATTATAAGAATTGAATGTCACTTTGTGTGTTTGCACTGAAAATGAACAATGTCAAAGCGTTGTTCAGACTCTCGTGTTAACTGTTTCAACTTCGCTTGTTCAAGTTTGAACAACGCTTTGACATCGTTCATTTTTCAGTGCAAACACAAATATTTAATTCTTAAATATTTATCTCAAGAAAAAGAAATGAATTGAATTGATTGATGATCTGTGAAGTGAGAATTAACACCTTGCAAATATAAAGGTACAAGCTTAAGTACTAGGTAATGTTTGATGGTTGTTTTGAACCAGCAGACTGAAATGAGATGTTATTGATCACACATCTTTATGTGGTGATTGGAAATAACACAACGTGATATTGTACAGATGCATTTGAATGTACAGTGTAAAACAGGAAATTGAACAAACCCAAATGTTATAATACACTGATAGGTTTAATACTGTGAATAGATATGTTGCTTGTGTTTCCATGGAATTTGTTTGTCAACCCATGCAAACTGCAGTGCTGTATTTTCCATTAACTTCCAATTATATTGGCTGGCAATAGAATGGGCAGTTGTGTAGTGTTATGTGGCCTGCATGATGTCACTGATTTGTGGTCTGATGATTTTTATATTCAAATAGTGAAAAAAGCTACATGTATATAGCATTACATATTTAGATTATTGTACGTATATTTCTTTATGGGAATCGACTTTGTTTATGGAATTATAAACATAAAAAGCGTTATGCACACCAGTTTTTAAAGTTTATGCCTCCATGAACATATTGAAGTGATTTTTTAAATGATTTGTCTGATCAATATCTCCTGCTTGCTTCTGGTAACAGCTGCTGGGTAATGACATCAAGCCCCGCCACTGTGTCATCGCCCACACGGAGGGCATCGTGACAGTCACTCCCACCAGCAGGGATGCAGAGACGTATGTAGAACACCAGCGTATCTATGAGACCACCATGTTGAAAGATGGCATGTCTGTGCAGTTTGGTAAAGCCTTCGTATTTCGGTTCTGTGACCCAAGATTTGATGAGGTGAGATTGTCAATATATACCTCTGTAATCTGTATAGTATAGGGGCCCTTCTCCTTTAACCTACCATTTTCCTACAACACTTAAATTTAGTATTTAATCACATCCCTTTTTTTTTCCAAATCACATTAATTAGAGAGTATGGAAAGAGACTTGTAGTTCTGATGAGTTGAAGTAATTGAGTGACACTCTGTTGCACAATACTGACACAATTTCCCCCTTCTGTCGTCTAATTGCCAGACATTTTGGTAACTGATTCAGTACAGCCTTTTAACAAGGCTAGCTCGAACATTTCTTTATGAGATTATTGTCATGTGTTTCATCAGCCCCGGAGACCAGGCGGCCATGACAGAAGTATGCAGAAGCAGCCTCACCCCCAGTACAATGACCGACCTCAGGAGACCAACTTTGACCTGGATGGTCATGTGGAGACCATGCCAGGAAGCGGGTCATCGCCTCGCAGTCCCGGACACACGCCACAACAGGAATGGGAGATGCACAAGAGGTCGGTGATGCATAATGGGGGAGGTTTAGATCTTGTGTCCGTGGAGTTTGGAGGGTTTTTGTTTGATGTTTAAATATTTTTAACATTTTGCTGTGTTTTGAGTTGCGGTTAAATCAAATTTGAATGTTGCAAAAATATGTGTTAATGTGCAATTTGTGACTTTTGGTTTCATCTTTCAGATCAGCACCAGATTTGCATCAAGGCCCTCCTGACATGATGGATGCTGGAGACCAACTTCCAGCATCATTAGAATTCAGAAATAATGGTAAAATGTCACTGATCTTTTTTCCTCATTTAATTTGTGTGATTAGTGGGAACACATATTATGTTTCGAATTATACTTTCTCAATAAAGTACAGATTCTAGTACTTTTGTTGGGTTGAGTCACATTCAGGCACCTGAACGCCAGCAGACGAAGTCAGCCATCTAACTCACGTGTTGGAAGCTGGGGTGGCCGAGTGGGTGAGATGGCTGACTTTGTTGTGAGAGTGTGGGTTTGAATCCAAGATAGGGCTCAACCTGACAAAAGTACTAGAATCTGTACTTTACTCTAAGTGTAATTCCAAACATAACATGTGTTATGGCATTGTGTAGTCATGCTTAAAGGGAGATAACTCATTATTGAAATAGTTGTGTCCCTTGATCACATATTTGCACTTTACCAGTTAAACTTTATCAGATCAACAAAGATTTGGTTCTTATTAATTTTGGAGTTTTATGTGATTAAATCTATTATAATCTTGTCTTTCAGATGAAAGTAGCATGCTGCGAGATGTGATTTTGTCTGTAAACAGTCGGAGTGTTCAGTTCAAACTTGCACCAACCTATACGCTCTACCTGGGTATTCGGCACTGTTTGTCCCCACACATATTCCCCCAGTTGCCGCCTCAGCAACGGGTCCAGAGACTAGCTGACTATGTTAACAGGATTGCCCGGATGGTACAGAAGGCCATACAGGTAAGTTAATATACGTGATTGAACTGAAGAAAACATAAATTGCTCGTTTATAATTCTGTTTCTTGTTTCAAATTAATAACCTTAAACCTTTGAATGTATATTCATAGGTAATAAGTGTTATGCAAAATCTAGGACAGAAAATATGTTTTGTTTTGATATTGACTGCAAACTTTCTATGGAAACTCAAGTTTCACAGTTATGTAAATGCTGCTATTTCCATTTGAGAAACATTGGATCCATTCGCCATCTGTTTACACAAGATGCTACCGCATGTCTCATGAAAACTTTTGTCTCTCTCGCTTAGATTATTGTAACAGTTTATTGTTTGGAGTTTCCAACGAGTTGATCAACAAGTTACAAAAGATTCAGAACATTACAGTATTATAACAAGAAGCAAACCATCTTGTCACATATCACCTATTCTCCAATCTCTCCACTGGCTTCATATTCCTGAACGTATCAGTATGCAGCTGCTACCCTTTGGAACTCTCTGCCTCTTGATCTAAAACTAGTACCAACTCTGCCACTCTTCAAAAACAGACTCAAAGCACACCTCTTTCAGCAATATGTTTCATAAATCCATGCATTTTCTTGTACATATGAACTGTGACTTGTCAGCGTTTTGAGCATTGCCTTTTTGTGGTGGAAGTCAGCGCTATATAAATACTCTTATTATTATTATTATTGTTTAATTATAATTTAGTTGCCATTCAACATTAACAAGACCAATGAGCACTGTCAATAATTCATGCATTAGCCATAAAGCTATTACATTACGGCCTAAAATGACTTGTTCATTTCAGGAACACCACAACGACCCAACAGCTCTGGCGTTCTGGATGGCAAATGCCTCTGAGGTTCTGCACTTCTTCAAACAAGACCATGATGTGCAGCCATTCAGCCATGATGCCCAGGAGCTGCTAGCAGAGGCCGTGCAGATGGCGTTCCAGCACCTGGTGCGATGTCTGCAAGTCGACTTGCAGCGTGTCATGCCGGCGTTCCTTGATGCAAGTGATTCAGAAGACGAGGAGGAAAGGAAAGGTGAGTTTCATATGACTTTATGGACTTTATATAAGGTAATGATTTGCGTTATAACCTGTACATGAACATGAAGTTTCATGTGATAGTCCTTCATTGGAATACTTCAAGTTCAATGGCTATAGGATCTGTGTAGGACTATAGGCTAATCGGTCTCAGTTTTGAGAATTGTACACAATCATGTTGGGAGGATTTTGCAAATTTTTAACTTCAGATAGCAAAATGTTTAATGGAGTGAATTTTGTTATTGTGTTTGGTTGGATGTACTTGATGTTAATATATAGGGAATAGTTTAAATATGTGAATAGTTCCTTATGGCGAAAATTTCATAATGTGAATAAGGCAAGTATTGACAAAGCATTTTGTGAAAGACATACCATCAGTACAGAAACATGAAGCAAGATGAAATAAACTGCAGTCTGTACTTACCCTAAAACGTTTGAGATTAGGAACCATTCATAATTTATGGCTGGGGTGGGGTGGGGATGATGATAATTTTAAAGGGGGGTCACCCATTTTGTTCTGGGGAGCTAGTGGGGTCATTAATTTTGTACACACATACTAGGGTGTGTGTGTGTGTGATGTTTTGTACATAAAGATTTGTCTAAATTTATGCTTAGAAATTATGGGAAGGGGAAGGGGGTAATTGATTTTGTACATGACATGCAGCCGGGGGTCACTTATTATTTTGTTTACATGAATTTTTGGGGGGGGCATTCACATTGTACATGCTCCTCCATAAAAATCATCGCCCCTCTAGCCATAAATTATGAATGGTCTGAGTACTGAGACTGAGCACATGATATCATGAAAATATCCCCCAAATATTCATGATATCTGACTTTTCTGTAGTCGACATGATTCCTGTTTTCTGACATATATTTGCAATCTGTTTTGTGTCTTGTTCCACAGATTCCCAGTATGCCAAGCCTAGCTTGACCGATGTCCTCAACACGCTGTCTGCAGCCATGACCTTGCTGCGACGTTGCCGCGTCAATGCTGCTCTCACCATCCAGCTGTTTTCTCAGCTGTTCCACTTCATCAACATGTGGCTGTTCAACATCCTGGTGACAGAACCACAACTGCAGCTGTATACAAGGTCGTGGGGCATTAGGCTCAAGCGGAGACTTGGCCGCATCGAAGCGTGGGCAGAGAAACAGGGTCTGGAGCTAGCCGCAGACTGTCATCTGTGTCGCATAATACAGGTGACTGCTGGGCCCTCTGGGATTATTATTGACATACATTGTCTTTTTTGTTGAACAGTGGAAAGCTTATGTTCTGGTTTGAGTCTGTAATAACAAAAGGGCACACATGGCCAAGTTAAGTAAGGTGTTCGAAATGTGTTGTGCAGAGTTATGTTCCTTGGATATGCTTGAAGCCTATGATGCTATGTTTGAATCATGGTTCATGCAGACTATGTTCCAAGGTTTATCAATACTCTCCCTTGCTTGTGGGTTTCACATCAAAGCCCTGCATCATTTCAGCCTGTCTTCCCATATTAAACTGACACAATTTGATTTTACTTGCATACTGGCATTATATTCTCTGTGATGGTATGATCTCATTTGCTTGAGTTTATGGAGGGCAAGTCAGTTTGAATCTTTGGAAATGTGTCATTTAGTTTATAGTCACAGTAGGTGGCAGCTGTGTTAAAACAAAAAGTTTACAAAATTACATTTTAAAATATTATTATTTTTTCTTATCCTGACTCATGATCTTTTGCTTATCTCCCTTTTCTTTTCGGATGGTAGTGGAACACTTGAATCCCTTGAAGTTCCCGACGCGGATGTAAAAATAACCTCACCCATGAATTACCTCCCTTTTTCCGCGTAAACAGTCGTGACCAGCCTTACTTGTCACTCTCCCTTTTCGCCCAAGTGGATGGTTGGGCGAGCACTGGAGTCCTGTATATGGCATTATATCCTTTTTATTTAGGTCCTATTCTTCAAAATTACGCTGTGTATGGATTTGGCAATAACTACTATGTATTATATGTAAAAAAAATGTGTGTTCCACTATCATTTGAAAAGAAAAGGCAGATAAGCAAAAGATCATGAGTCAGGATAAGTATAAAAATATCAATTTTACTTGAAAACTTACATATTTTCATGACATTATTGATGTCATCAAAGCTGATGTGGCCAGTGTTACTGGTGTAGGAGCAGCTTTGTAACATCCACCCTTCTGCCCCCAGGCTGCACACCTGCTGCAGACCCCAAAGGTATCCGGTGACGACATCACCAACATCAGCTCCACCTGCTTCAAACTGAACTCACTCCAGCTCCACACACTCCTGGTGAGGTACATCCCAGAACCCAGGGAGCCACCCGTCACACGGGGATTCATCGAGAAGGTCGTGACCATCGGCAAGAACATGGCGGATGAGCTGACACGGACAGACGGCAGGGAAGTCCGGCTGGAGGAGGATCAGGATCTACATCTTCCCTTCCTGCTACCAGAGGATGGCTACTCCTGTGACACCATCAGAGGGATCCCAACTGGGCTGCCCGAGTTCATCAAACCTATGACTGCTGCAGGTGTGTTTCTTTGTCATTCAGGAAATGGCTGTCGGTTCAGTGTCTGCCCAGACTATATGATCTTAGTGTGAGATGATATGGAAAGATAATGCTTTGTTATCTTGTTCCAGGTATTTGCCAGCTTGTCCCGAACAATGCGTCCAGTGGTAGCTGGACTGTCTACATGGGAGATGGAGGAGGGAGAAGCCTTGAGGTATTGTGTGCAACAAGTCTGTCATCACTGTAGAGCATCACTCTAGAGCAATATAACTACAGAGGAATCTGGTTAATTAAGACAGTTGCCATGGTGCCAATATTTGACGATGGTGCCACTGTATGACCTTGGTGCCAATATTTGACAGTGGTGCCAATATATGACAGTGGTGCCAATATATAACCTTGGTGTCAGTATTTGACCATGTTGCTAGTATTCAACTTTAATGCTTACATTAGACCATTGTACCAATAAAGCTTCTGCTTATGAATCAAGTAGTGGATATATAGAAAAAAAATCGATTTCAATTAATTTTGAAAAATGTGTCCATTGAACATTGAATGTGCCAGACTCTCGTAAAATGTTCATTCAGAAGGATGTTTCACCATCTGAAACTATTTACTGTTTCTTCCAACATCAGAATGACCAGGCTGAGAATGAGTGGTTGATTGTTTTCAGAACACCCCTCCAAAAGGTCCCCCACCCCAGAATGTACAGCCTCCCAACAATCTCCCACGACAACCAGAGGTCATGGTGGTCATCTTCAAAAAGGTCAATGGCAGTATGGGACTCAGCATTGTTGCCGCCATGGTCAGTAAAGCATGACAATGTTAAATCATTCCTTTTTTCAAATCGGTCAATCTGTCAATCAATAGAACGTTCTGGTTCAGGATTTTCAGCTAAAATATTCAAGTTAATCAAAGGTCCAGTTACCTTGTTAAATCGTAGGGCTGAATGTATGAATTACATGTTGACAAAATTGTCAGACCATGATGTATGTATGACAGTGTCTTCCTTCAGAAGCAGATAAAGATAGTGAGATGGTCACAGCATTAATTTCATTCTATATTTCACATATCCATACACACCTATCTGCCCATTTTTAATTTTGAAGTTAATTTTCTAAAAGTCCTTACTATGTGCGTGGCATGTCTGTTACAGGGTGAAGGTCAGAGGGAGAGAGGCATCTACATCAAGTCAGTAGTACCTGGTGGTGCTGCCGCCCTGGTGAGTGCAGCTGGCGGTCAGGGGAGAACACTCCTGTCACAGTGTTGTTCATTTTATAGAATATCATTTTGGTCCTCTGGTTAATTGTAACAAGTCTTAATAATGTCAAATGTTAATGACATATTTCACAGTAGGGAATCAAGAAATAGTTTTTGTTGTTGAATCTTTTAACTTTTTATGGATTTTATTAATGAACTTGAAGTAATAAACAGAATTTGATAATAGGTAGGATCTTGGATGAGTTTCAAGAGATTCCAAGAGCTTGCTGACTGCTAGATGTTGGAGTCCGTGGAGGATATTGTGTAACATGTATATGAGTGATGTTTTCCATGTTGTCAGGATGGTCGTCTACAGGCTGGTGATCAGCTGCTGGAGGTGGATGGCCGGAGTCTTGTGGGTCTCTCTCAGGACAAGTAAGTTCTTGACCGCTTTGTATTTTCTATATTGATTACCACCTCAGTACGCTGTGCTTCTTTGAAGAGTCAGTTGCTTCAGGCAGTATTGGTTGATGCTCGGGCTGTCAGCCGTTGATTTGTCAGGTCCAGATATTTACATGTCACATAGATGTGGCTGTTATATTGCTGGCCGTGTGTAACAACATTGTCTCTTTCTGTTGGCATTTCCTTCACATCAGGGGGCGGTGTGGTAGCCCAGTGGTTAAAGCGTTCGCTCGTCATGCAGAAGACCACGGTTCAATTCCCCACATGGGATAAGGAAAAATATGTAAATTTTTAAGTAAAATTGATATTTTATACTTATCCTGACTCATGAGGAGAAGCCCTCCCAACCTCCCCCCTGGAAACACTTCGGATTTCTCAGTAGATCCAGGTGCATGGGCAGAAAAATCAGGAGAGAGTGACAAGTAAGGCTGGTCACATGACTGTTTGCGTTTGTGTTAAGATTAACATTATTATTAACATAGACTTTTCCATGTACATGCCAACATCACCTATACACAATGTGGTTATCCTTTCAGAGCTGCAGAGTTGATGACACAGACTGGGAATACAGTTACGTTGAAGGTGGCGAAGCAGGGAGCTATCTACCATGGTCTGGCCACACTACTGAGTCAGCCCTCACCCACCATGCAGAGAGGTGCGCTTATTATTGATATTCCTTGACCTATGGATACATTCAGAATGTCAATCTACCATAGTTGTGTCTAGAACACTTTCAGTGTGCCACTTTACCATAGTTTAAGACAAAATATTATGGATGTCAACTTCTTGTTTATTCTATGCACAATGTTTCTGGGCTTTTCCTTGCCCCTTCGTCAGGTGAATGGTGTATAGAATAAACAAGAAGATGACATTCATAATATTTTGTCTTATACTTGAATACCAACTTCTATATGCCTCTCAAGAACCTTTACGATAGTTGTCCTGAAAATACCTTTTGAATATCTTTCTACAATAGTTGCCAAAGATTCTTTTAGAATGTGACTATATCACAGCTGTGCCATTGTTACTTTCATGATGATAGTCTACCATGGCTATCGGGTACTTTAACAATCTCAATCTGCCATAGTCAAGAAGATACTTTTGAGAATTTCACTCAACCTTGCTTGTCTACCCTTGAAGATCTGGGTTGGAATTAGTCCTCAGTAACCCATACTTGTGGTAAGAGGCGACTAATGGGATCGGGTGGTCAGGCTCACTGACTTGGTTGACATGTCCTCGTGTCCCAATTGCGTAGATCGATGCTCATGCTGTTGATCACCGGATTATTTACTAAGCGCAGCCATGTAGCTGGAATATTGCTGAGTTTCCGAAATTCTGACTAGAACTGTCATCTTAGAGATACCTTATCCAGTGAATTGTCTCCAAAGGTCATGCTTGAAAACTGTAAAGAGCTTAGGCCATAATGAATATATGGAGTTAAACAGTTTGAACAGTACATTGTGACTGAAAACAATGTGAACAGGCTGGAGACAAGATATGTTATTCTAGTACATATTTACCAGGGTCGGTGGGGTAGCCTAGTGGTTAAAGCGTTGGTCCGTGCCAATGTGTGAAGCCCATTTCTGGTGTCTCCAGCAGTGATATGTCTGGAATATTGCTAAAGCGGCGTAAAACCAAACTTACTCACTCACATATTGATCTGGGTTGCAGCTGCCTCACAGCCACAGAACAATCGTCCAGGACCACAGAACAACAGAGTGAAGCTGAACCATGAGGAAGGGCCTCCACCATACACTGAGTCCCCCGGCGACCCCCGCAACAACCGCTCTGACCCCCGCTTGTTTAACGGTATGGGGGGCAGGGGACAGGAGAGCCCTAGGATGCCACCCCACCAAGCTGGAAGGTCACCCCACATGGAGCAGCCACATAGTGAGTTATTCTGTTAACATGATGATGTTATAACGTCTCATAGATAATTTATTCCCTAAACAGGGTTACCAAATAATATTTATCAATTCCATGAGAAAAGGATACAATACCAAACTGAAGAAGAAAAATGTAAATGATCACAAATATTTGGGGGCTGTTCTTTTAGTACAATTGTGTGCTCTGTCTTCACTACAAAAAATATGAAAATATTCATGTACCTAAATGTTTCAGTTCAGTATATGTGTATGACTCCAGTTATATAGTTCTTTTATGAATGACTTCAAGCAGGCTACAATATGTATATGTTGCTTTAACGGGGTTTACACTTTTATACTTATTAGGTCAATTCTGGAAATATATGTAAACATGGTCATGATGTTTTTGTTCAGTATATGTGTATTCATGTGAAGGAAGGATATGTTTACAAGGTATTTCTGTACAAAAAATGCAGTAGAATGACATGGTTGAAGTTGTTAGATCATGTCATCTTGGGGTAAAGTAATTAGATCCTGTCAAGTTGGTGGAGGGTGAAAACTTACACAGAGCTTACTCATACTCTGTATCTGATGACTACCACAGTGGCTTTGTGCAGTAAAACCTGCTATTGGCTTGAAACATAGGATACATGTGAAAGAAGATTTTATTTGTTAAGCATAAACTTGATACTTTGCAGGGGATGATCGTTTTCGAGCGCCATCTGTGGGCAACCTTAATAATGGACGTTTTCAACCTAACCAAGGGCCATATGATCCGAGTATGCACAGACGGGACCCTCACGAACAAGATCCTCGTTCTAAGTCAACATCTAATCTAAATATGGACACTTCGTATGATCGTCCTGATCCTAATGTTATGAAGCCTGCTGCCTCCGTTGCTGCCCTTGGTCCTGGTCCTCAAGGTCATCCTTACCCTCCAAATTTTGGTCGCAAACCAAACGACTATGAGAACCAGCCAAATTTGAACAGCTTACCTGCTGAAAGGAATGAACCTGTAAAACCAGGTCGAAGCTATACAGACATCAATCAAAACAACATGCCCATAAAACCCTCTCACCATCACAGTCAGCCTTATCTTCATCCACAACGACCTAATGATCGCTCATCTGTGTCCTCTAGAATCATCCAACAGTAACCGTGACAACAGACCACAGTCTGCATATTATGATGGCCAGAATAGAGAGGACTTTGGTCAGTTGAGGCCAAAGTCAGACGAAATCACTCCTAACAAGATACGGGAGTGGCAGGAGAAATTGGAAGATCCTCGCACACAGCCATTCCAGAACAACCTTCATCCTGATCACCATTCTCCTCATTATAATATGGGAAGGGACGTTAACGACGCCCGTAATATCCAAGACATTCCAAAATTAACTGTGAATAACCAAACTCGGCAGCCCAATTACTATGAAAACACAGGTCCATCACAAGAAGCTGTTCCTCCCTTCCATCAGCTGCCGAAGCAGAATGATGAGAAACCCAAACCACCTGTGAAACCCAAGCCTGCAGCAAAGCCCACGCAGCCAAGAGTCACACCCTCAGAAATTCCATTCACACAGGTTGATAATAGGTTGTCACAGCCGCAGTTTTTCGATCCTAAGTCATCCCCACAGGAGTCTCCCAACTTATATAATCCCCACGCAGGAAAACAACAGTTCCAGACACCCAGACATGACCCTCGGGCTTCATTTGGACAGAAGAAGATTTCCCCTGAGAGGCAGCCTGGTCCATATGGGTATCGAGACCAGGAAGATATGCCTCCTCCCCCTCAAGATGAATATGCCCCCGAGTTACCCCCGCCCCATCCAATGATGACCTCCATGAGAACTCTCCTCCCCTTCCCCCTCCTCCATCACAGGAGTATGCGTTTGAACAACAACTACAAGATGAACAAAGACGCATGATGAACCAGTTGGGTCAGCAGAGGAATTTCATTTCGGATCCTCGGTTCAGTGGACCTGCTGGTTATGGCCGGAATGAGTTCGAAGGTCAGCAAGGCCAGTTCCCTGACCGGACTCGTCCTGGTCAAGGCAATGATAGACAATTGCAAGGTAACAAGCAGAATAACATGCATCCTAATTACCAGAACATTAGTTTCGGTGGTCCTGAGACCCAACCACCTCCAATTCCACAACCTCCTGAGCATAATGTGTATGAACAATACGAAACGCAGAGGCCGGACATGCAGCCGCCTCACCAAGCTGGTGCAATGCACTTAACAGTGAAGGAGAAGGAATACAACGTAGGAGCATCCCCCTGGGATAGAGAGGAGAAGGAGAGAGAGCAGGAGAGATATGAGGAAGATATGTCCAAGATGAGGGACATCGAGATAAATGAGCTAGAATCAAAACAGTACCTGAATCCTCAGGAGCAGGATCGACTTAGGAAGCTGCGTCTGGAGCAGGAGTTTCAGAGACGGGTGAAGGAGACGATGGACAAGGATGAGGATGAGGACTCTGATACAGAACTTGCAGAGAGGCTCTACGTGAGTGGATGTTTGTGATGTTTCATTGTCACATAGAGATATCATTCATTGTTGCATAGAGATATGGTTCATTTCTTCCCGGGCTTGAGGACATTGTAAAGACCCTGACGTTATGTAATCTCCTTGTCTTGTTCAATCTGCTGTTGATGTTCATGTGGTACATGGTAGACCACTATGGGTAACTAAAAGGGTAACTGATGCTTATGTTTAAGATGGGTGATAATGAGCTAAATATGAGCCCTATTATAAAGGATTCTTCTTTGACATCATACCTATAGTCTGTTTGCGGTGAAAACGTACCGATGAATTTCACTTTAAGCAAAAAAGTAAATCAAATAAAGTGAAATTAAGATTGCGAATCCTCATAATTTTACCTTGCCATTTGAAAATTTAAATCTCAGAATTTTATTCAACTTGGGATGAAAGTTGTGAAACAAACGATCATAGTTTCAAATCGGTATTATTGGTTTGTATTACAAGGGGGTATGCACATAAAATGAAACACCGAGATCAAGTAGGGTTAACGCTCATCACGTACCGCACGTGCATTTGTTTCACTGTTCCAACTACTGCACTTACCCCCTTGTAATACAAACCAATATAAGCGATTTGAAACTATGATCGTTTGTTAAACAACTTTTTTCATAAGTTGAATAAACATCTAAGATTTAAATGTTCAATTGGCAAGGTAGAATTATGAGGATTCGCAATCTTAATTTCACTTTATTCGATTTACATTTTTGTTTAAAGTGCAATTCACCGGTATGTTTTCACTGCAAACAGACTATAAACATGGTTAGTTTGGCAACCACTGATTATAAAGCTGGCTGACTGGAGTTTTCAATAGTAAACTTCTGACTTATTGCTGTACATGTTCTTTAGTCTTATGTATCAGTCACCCCATAGAGATGCCTGATCTGTGCTGGTCGAACAAACTGATAGTGTGGCCAGCCTTGGTGATTGAGTTAATAGCATGTTCTTGTACCCTGATGACATTGATCATTGTCCACAACAACAGTCGCTGATTTATCTGGTTAAGATTTAAGTTTGTTCAGACTGTTTGCTGCGTCTAATGTTAATTAACAAACAAGTCATGTCCTGTCAATTAAATGATGTTTTTAACTTTGGTTGAACTGTGTATTTCAGTCACGAGATCGGATGATACAGGCCATGAAGGATGACCTGGAAAAGTCACGGATTCGTTTAGTCGATCTGGAGAGGAAACGAATGATAGATGAGTTCGAAGCCGAGAAAGATCGGTTAATAAGGTAGGTGCTAAAGATGTAACACTTCACTATCTGTTGGTTGCTGACTAACTCACTACTGTCTGAAGTTTTGCTGAAGCCAGTCCTTTTATCTGCAGCAATTGCTGCATGCATTCATTGTATTCTGTTTGGACAATATGAGATGGTATTGCTTGTTATTGAGTTTGTATTTGTTTCTGTGTGTAGGTTAGAGCGTCGTTTGGACCAGTTTGAGAAGGACAGAGAGGATCACAAACTGAGGATCTTGAAGAGACAGGAGAAGAGACAGAAGGATCATGAAGAGCAGCTACGGAGACAGAGGGTGAGCATGGGATTTGGACAAAAGGGTGGAAGGTCACATTAAAAAACATTCAACCAAGTGTCTCTTTGCCTGGATTTTGTAATCAATCAAGGTGGGTTGGTGGGTAATAGGAGTCTCTTTGGATGGATTGTTGAAGTCAATAGAGTTGGTTGCAGGGTTATTCTGATCCATGTAAATGGAGTCTATTTGATTCTGATGGAGGCTTTTGCTGGTAGCTGTTGGAGGCTGATCTGGTAGTTGGGGAATATTGAATTTGGGTTATGTGTGGTTAGTCAGTCGCATATGTCAGAAGGATTTCCTATGACACTGCACAAATTCAAACAACTGAGGAAATTGACAAAGCATTCTTAATGGCACAGAACTCAAACTACTGTGGCTTTGCCCACTTCTATTTTTTGAATTTATGTACAAGAGTTTACTTGAGGAGGACATTTGACTTGAAATTGACTGCTTGTAATCTTGTAGGAGTTGCGAGACAATCAGCGTCAGCGATTTGAGGACCAGAAGCGTCTCATGATGATGGAGGAGGAGAAGATGCGACTGAGGAGGGAGGAAGAACTGGCAAAGAGGAAGCAATATGTATGTAGTGTCTACAGCGCATCATGCAAATGTGTAACCGTGGCACTTTCAAAAGTGTTTGTGGGAAATTATTTCATACGAAGGCATGCTTTTAGCATTATACTAGCATTATCATGATGGGGACGCCACATATGGGCTTCACACATTGTACCAATGTGGGGATTTGAACCTAGGCCTTCTATGAGATGTGTATATGCTTTAAGCACAAGGCTTCCCCACTGCCCATGTTTAAATAAAAACTACTGAAAATAAAAACACCACCATTAGAAGGCTATGTGTTGCTGTAGCGATCAGCAATGAAACTCAACTACGGTCATCTGGAAAAAGAATGAGCACCTGTTTTGAATAGTTGTTCAGACTCAACTGTTGAACTCTCAAACTTTCCTGGATAGATTTATGATAGAGCCAGAATGTTTGTATTGATCAGAGTGTCTAACTTCGGTTCGATATTTCAGGAGCGAGAACAGTTGCAAGAGATGCAGGCAGCAAGAGAACAAGAGGAGGCCACACTTCGGGCACAGATTCGGCAACAAGAGGAAGAGTATTCCCGGAAGCGGCTGGAGAAACAGAAACAGCTTCGTCTGGAGCAGCAGCGAGAGATCCGTGTGTCATCTGAGAGGCAGAGGATTGAGTCAATGCAGGAACAGAACCGCGGTCCTGGATTCGACAATCAGCCATACGCTAACCTCCCACCTGCCCAGCCCAACAGGGATGTGCCACAACCTCCAGAGAGAAACAGTTCCTTCAATATGATTCAGAGAGGTAGCATGCGAAACTCGGACTATCAGGGGCCCAATTTCCGTGATCAGCCCCAGCCAGTCAGGAGGATGGGTCCAGAGAACCCAGCACCTGCAGCATCCATGCCTGTGCCCAAGAAGTCAGTGTCATTCAATACTCAGCTGGAGCAACTGAATACATACAGTGTGGGAAGTGTCAGTGGGGAGTCCCACCCTTCTGTGTCATCATATCGTTCCTCACAAGGCTCCCAGTCAGAAACAGCAGATCCTCAGTTCATGGACCATCCTGGAATGATGCATGAAACAAACGAAGTGTTTTCTTCACCGCCTCAAAACAACATCAATCATGATATCACGTATGTAGCTGGTGGAACACCTAATGTTGTTGGTTCCCAGGAGATCTACCGAGACCCTCGACAACGGATCGCGGCACAAAAAGCTGCAAACTCTATCAAAAGGCCAGGCGCGGAAAGAATGTCATTCAGAGACAAGATGAAGTATTTTGCTACTGAGGCTGGCGAGGATACCATTAAATTTAAACCAAAAGCTTCCAAGACTTTAAGAACCATTGAATCTCAGTTAAATGGCCAATAGTTTCTGTGATGGAGCGTCAAATTCATGAGGATGGTTGAAATGGGAGTTGGCACATTTCAGAGATCCGCTTCCTGATGTGGCCGTGTGGTATTTGTGCCCTGGTGTTAAAGCTGTATGTAAATATTCTTCTCAGGTTGACGAAGGGCTGGATCCATGTGGCAGGTAATGGGAGGCTTGGAGGAAAAACATGGAATTATTTTTTATGAGGCAGTTCTTTGATGAGTCTGTCTTCTGTATACTGTTCCTCAGTGCTGAGAAAATATATCTAATATATTGCTTCCTGGAGCAATAGTGCTTTGAATTGTGTACATTGATGAGATGATATCTGTCTGAAGAGAAGACAAAGACATTAAGAGACTGAAATAACTTGCCATTAGACGTTGTAGCATTCCATCGTTAATCGTATATTGTTGTCATTTTATTTCCCTCGTTACGAAAAAACCGATACCAATGTTGACCTGAACGATTTTATTATTTAGAAATCATGACGCAGTCATTCAGAAATGATTTCATATTTGGGAGGGGATGGTTTCACTATTACAAGACTTGTACAGACATATGAGAAAAGTGAAATCTGTTTACTATGAGGGGGAAATGTGACTTGATCACAGACAAGCATATTAAACATTTTGCTCATTTCGTACATATATATATATCTATATATCATACTTGTTTGTCAACTGTCGAGTGTATAGTGTACATACACAGACTCCTAGTGGTGCATTGCTTGTAAAATATGTATTCATTTAGGGAACATTTTAAATTTAGTATTTTTACTACCCAACTTTTATATCTTTTGAAAATAGTTTGTGCTAACATTATAGTTCTTGCGGAAGTGTTTTATAGATTTTCTGTATTTTGTCCATATTATGTGTATATGCCTTGCAGGGGTACCTGCTTCATCTGTTTTTTGTCATCATATCATGTCATGGCTGCTACTGTTAACTCTGCATATTTTCATCGTTGATACGACCGTGCTGGAGATTGCTCACAACGCGACATCAAACTGGTCATTCTGAAATCACATTTTGATAACCAGGCCAAAATACTTCTCGATGTATCATTTTTGTTTCAACAGATTGTCAAAGGAAGCATGAACAACTAAAAAAGTCAACAACCATACGATTCTATTTATCATGCTGTGACAAATTAACATACTTGTATGAAAGAATTGGCTGGTCCTTAACCTTTTTAGGGTATATTGTCATTATTTCCATTCATTACTTGAACATCATCCCACAGAGCCCATCCATCACGACATCCAGTTCCCCTGTGTAGTGTTTATAATGAAGTCATCGTATCAGTGCTGATGAAGATATGCAGGGCAGATGTAGAAGGCCATTTGTTGACATATCGCCAGCTGGTTGTGAGGTTTCTATGCAGTGAGTCCATGATGTTTTAGGCAGTGCCTTTACTAATGACATCCATCCAAGCACCTCGGTGATAACGTTTACAAATCAGAGTGTAATTTTCTAACCATGTTTCCCAATGATATTGTGATACAATATTGATATTTTGGTTGTGAATCTTAACTGTGGCCGTCCTCCGCAAGTACCTTCAACCTTCCAGGGTTAAACAATGGAGTTTATTGAAGGATAAAATAACGTGTAAATTTTGCATTGAATGTAAAAGTGCTTATCTTGCAAAATTAACACATCAAGACTGGAACTTGTGACAGAATATATATCTAAAAATCAGTTATGCTGCCTGTTGAAGAACAAAATGTCTTTGTTGCATGACTTGAAGATTTTATTTTTAAGCAATTGAATGGGAAATGAAACACGGCATGTTATCCTTAATCTGAAATATGCTACTCAACTGTTGACAAGAATGTTCAGGGTTCATTTTAGATATGAATTAAAAAGACTCTTTCACACAGTACATACTACTCAGAGTTTGCTAAGGAATATAACCTTTAGTCAAAGGTGTGGTCCTTAGCAAGTGTTGTACAGTATTTGACCTTTTCATGAAATGGCATTTTCGGCTTCACGTCGACACAGGTCCACATTTCGTTAAATTACAGTAGCAGAGAATCAGGTCTGATCTTGGTATCTGTATCTGATGTTGAGTAGCATACATTCAAAGTTCTCTACAGAAACACATTTGAATTTCTGAGTTTACGTGTCTTGACAGTTGGAGATGGATATTTTATCTGCTACTAACTGAAACACTGGTTTTATGGTCTGTGATATATGTGTCGGATATGACAGGAATCAGCTAACATGCCTACACAAGAAGCACAGACCGAGGTGGAAACGTTAGCCCAGATGTAGATGTTATTACACTGTACATTATGATTAAGTATATACATTGGAGCAATAAAATCATACAGGAAAATACTTTACTTTGTGTCCTCTTTTCACAGGCATGATCAGGGAAAGAAGCCTTTCAAAAGTTCCCACTAGACCACAGAACCAGTGAGTGGACAATACTTAGCGGTCCTGTCTGTACTTCTCTGGTCCAAAATAACATTTGTAGATTTAGTTAACTATCAAGACAGAAATTACTGTCCACCAGGACCACTGCAAACTTATCATTTGGTGGTCCTGATGAATTTTTACTAGCCAGGGACCACAGGACCAGTGTAAATTTCACATACTGGGCATGAACTATTCAAGCAGTGTTTGAAGAATGGGAGCACTATTTGACATTATGTTTGCATGCACTTTTGAAACTATTCATGATCCTGCACTTTTCTTGTCACGTACATCGAGACACATCAAGCTGGTTAAAGAATGAACAGGATTGATATCGAGCAATATTTTCTGAGAGCAAAATTTCAATAAAGGCTTTGTCACCATAATTCGAGACAGATAGGATGAGGATAAGCTGGGAGTTGAAATTAGGAGATAATCCTATTGTTTTTACATTTTGGAAGTGATTATAGTTGGTTGAACGCTGCTAGATGTTTCATTTAAAACCTCACGCGAGGTTTTATCAGCCAATCAAAAACGAACATGCTTAAATGTCATGGTAGAATGTCATGTTATCTTTATTCAAGGTCTTGTCAAGGTTATGCTGACCTTGTTCAAGCAATATCCGGACACCGTACTATTTTCAAACGAGGTCTTTATAAAAAATAGTTTGCTGATTACACTGCAGTGATTTCAGTTGTGAAAATAAATAAAGAAAGTCCAAATGAATATAATGACCAACATGCTGTCAAACTAAATGATCACACTCACACAAAGTGATGAATATACTACATCCAAGTAGGAATACACAATCCAGTGTCCAGTAGTCGAATGTAACGTATGTCATATTTGGGATCACACCTTCTCAGTAAAGTACTGGGCCTAGATTTTCGAAGCTCCCTTAGCGCTAAGGTAGTCTTAAGTGCCATACGTTAACATTAACTTATGACTATCTTAGCACTAAGAGAGCTTCAAAAATCTAGATCCAGGTTCTTGTACTTTTTTCTGGACGAGTTCCATTCCAGATTCGAACCTACATCCAGAGTCTGGCACATAATCTCAAACACACAAAGTCAGTGATTTGACCACTTTTGAAATGGCATTATGTATTCATAGCTTATAGAGAAGGAGCTGTGCCAATTTCCACTTGTCAGAGACTTATCAACCTTTCAGTTTCGTGGAAGCCACTGAATGGTTTAGATAACAGACGATCACCAAGTGTTTCTTGGTTTTTCAGCTCTCCACTTGTGGGTTTGACCCAAGTGGTAATTAGCTCCTACATCAATCTGCTATGGTACAAATGAAATACTGTTCAAATTCACCCACATTATATATATTAGTTTTGAGAAAGAACATTTCAGTTTGCATTTCTATATATTCATGTAACTTCGAGAAGCTGCTCATTAGATAATATCTCTCACATTGTCAGATGTGGCCATGTTGACATTATACATTGTTTCTTTACTTTTCTCTTTGCTGTATGTGAAATCTAACGTGCACAATTTCCAGGAAATCACTATTATTTTGTGAACATTTTAAAAAGAAACAAATGTATTAAACTCAGGAATCATTTATTTACAATTGGAAAATATATAAATTGTATAAAATGACATTTTGCTGCCAAAATAATATTTCTTGATTAAATAATTACATGAACATGAAGGTAATGGAATGAAGACATTGAATTCTGCATAGCAATGCAACATAGACTGACAAGCACTCTGCTTTTTTCTGCGTCTGTATTCATGATAATAGACCGATCAGGTCTGTCAATCAAAACTGGCGCATGCGTCAATTTTGGCCAATCAGCAGGCCGGGCGCGCTGTGTGGATTTGTCAGACTTATTTCCAGGGTCAAACGATGCCTCCGAAGCGATGTGCTTTGAATTATGACATTTACACTCGCTATATCTATACAAAAAATTGAGGCGGATCAAGAAATGCGATAGGCCTAACGAGCAGTTAAATGTCGGCACCGTCGTTCACGAAACCTACGTCTGCTCGAAGGTGAGAATTTACACGAATTTACACACTTTCGCACATGTGCAAAAGCATTACCAATAGATGACAACAAATAGCAGTTTAGGATTTTGCAAGTGTTATAAACACGGACAATTCTTGTAACTACAAAATTGTTTTTTGCTTCACGTTTTTAGTCACTACTAGGCATTGAGTTGGTACACCATAAACCTGAAATGAGACAGGCGAGAAAGCCGTGACACAATGTAAACAAATCTGACAGCGAGCTGATTTCGGTTAGGGTCGACCGAAATAGCAAAACTTGTTACATTAAAGAACAATGTGGTGGATATGGTTGCATTCGCGATTAGATATTCTTAAAGGTCACATGCAACCAAAAAATCAAACATAATTAAAACACAATTATCACTTATTCATGACATATAATATACATTGTTGGTTATGAAAAAACATATAAACAAAATTATAAGCGTACAATCGCAAATCAAAAGTGCAATATTGTGTACTTCGGTTTACTTCCCAAGAAACGAAGCAGCCGGGATACCGAACCCAGTCAGAGCGGGTGGGTGTGCACTCAAGTGTAACGGCTGGTTCATTTGCAGATGCCCTCACGGCTATTGTGTGTGTATATATAGAGATGTTGGGTTTTGTAAATACATGCTCATTTTTTGTGTATAACATTTTGCAATCAACAGACATCATAACATGTCATGTGTTCAAGTATCACACCTACCTGTCTGTGTAATTACATAATGTGACAGAGACCCAACTCGGGCCATAAATCAATGCGTTTTGTTTATGGTGTATAGCCTGATTGGTGTTAAGTTCAAATTGCATGTGGTCAGTGATAGCAGCTGTGTATTGAATATTGTCATTAGCAGACAGGCAGGCAGACACACAGGTGTCAATAAAACAAGACATTGAGTTTTGTCTGTGACAACGACATATCTATATCACAATTAGAAATTCTGTCAACGCTAAATAATGACATTGCTTTTAAGTATCGAACTGAGAAAGTGACTCGGTAAGACGAACGTGTGGTGAAATAGACAAATGAAATTATATAAACAGTTTATTTACTGTCATAACATATAAAAAGCTCGCGCCTGTGAGATATCAACAAAACATTAGAAAAATAGCTCACACCAAAGCCTTCACCGAGTATTCACCCGACAACCCGCTTCCAAGCTGCGCGAACCTATTTCACTGCGCACGTGCTATGAGCGCAGCCCAGCTGTTGAAACCCGTTTTCCCCAGAAAAGTCGGGGGAAAATTAGTGAAACGTTTGAACTCCGATTTCGCGCGTTTTTTCATCGCGTTATTTTTCAACTTTATAAGTTGAATTTGCATTTTTGATGATTTGTTTCGGTAAGTCCATACCGAAAGGTATCAGAATCTGCAAAGTTGTGTTTTACGTTGCATGTGACCTTTAAATTTGTCACATATTTTAGGATGTTTTAAAGTTTCAAAAGCACAATCTGAAGGCCTATGAACAGTACAGTATCTGTTGATAGTGCAAAATATTCGAGGAGTAATATTTTTTTATCCAAACGGAAATATTGTCAGTGTCAGCAGTTGCCTATCACGCAATATCCAAACATCAAAATTAATTCAAATGAGTGTCTATAAAACCATGTCTTAAATATTTCAGAATTTCTATAAAGAGATGGGACCTTGAATTGATTTAGCTTACTCCATGTGGATCGGAGACAAAAACTATGTGAGAAGAATAGTGACTTTCTGGAATATCGGACGGACTGAAATATAAGTTTATTTCCTAACTATGAGAACATTATTTGTTTTGATTTTAGGAGTAATAACATAGTTCTGTCATTTTAATTATAATTCACTGGAAATGATAGCAAGGTATGTTTTAAGAATCTTGCCTCCTTCAGGAAACGTGGAAAGGTAATTAAATAGATAATAATCCAATCAATTATAGATAATTACTTAATTGACTCACATATCAGATTCATGTGAATTTAAGGTAAAACTAGGCAAACAAACACTATATACATATCATGGCTGAACAATCACTTGGTACTAAGATAGCTAGTTTGTTTTAAGATATATTTGGTCTTTAAATAATATGTTTAATAAGATTATTCAGAGAGTGATCACTAGTATCATCACTCATAACAAAGTTATTTCAACATCCAGAGAATTTGAAAAAAACAAAGGCTACGTTTTGTTCACACCCAGGCATTATTCAGTCTTGGAACCAAATAACTTACCGAATTCTAAGTTGACTGTTCATGTAACTGGAATGGATATTGAAACATATAATATTCAACCCCGATTTCATGTAATACTTCTTAGAAATCATCAGCTTTTGAGGAGGTTACCAATATTTGAAGACTGAGCCAAAGTAGTGTTTATTTAGATGTTGGTTTTGGACAAATTGTTCAAGGTTTGTTGATGCTTATATTGCACACTGGTTTAATTGCAGGAGGTGAAAGCTTCAGGACATTTTCATGTATGTTTTCATAAACTTTTGTTATGACCTTTACCAAATTTTTAAGCAACTTTAATATAATTTTGATGACACTAGTAAGTATCTCAGAAAAGGAAATAGATCAGAATTAGTGTTATGTCCCTAAGGGATATGGTCTCAGATCTAATAAGATTATCATTGTTTAAGAAGCAATAATGTCAATATGTAATTTTATTGACAAAAAGCTTTAAACTTTGAATATATTCTTTGCCCCTTATTTACATTAGTAGTTAGCAGTTAAATATATCTGAAGAAAAAGCAGTATATTTGTATGTTCTGTAACATTATATTTCAATGCTAGTTAAAGAACAAATAAACTTTGTTTTTTTTGTACTCTTTTAACTATTACATATGAAAGATTTGTGGTTAGACTTATGCGGAACACCAAATTCATTCTTAAAAAAATTGTGGTTAATTAATACCGAGCGATTAAAAGTTGCCAAAAAGTCG